CCACCGGCGACCAGTCCAAACAACTGATGTCTACTTGTTTGAAGCAACCAAGCAGCGGCATGGGCACGCATGCACTGTCATAGGACCCCCCAAAGAGAAATTCTCCGACTACCTACTGTCAGTTCTAAGACCTTGCTTGGGAGTGTGCTCAGCTAAATCTCGCGACGCAGAGGCACTATACTTTTCCGAAGGTTCCACAAGGTGGCAATGCACCGCTCTGCAATCATGAATTGGTGATGGTAGCACTAGTTTGCACCACTGAATTATGAATTACGGAGGGCAAGTTCCATGATGCAAGCCACCAATGTAACAGCTCACGAAAAAGGCGGCTCGAATTGCCAGCAGAGCCTAATTTCAGAATTGGTATGGGGCAAGGCACCAAAAACAAAATCAAAGCCAAATTTGAGGAATGGGGCAAGCCACCGAAACCAAATTCAGATGTTGCAAACTTCTCTGTCTATGAGTCTGTGTGACCATCTCCTCAAGCAGCGGCGCTTCATTCCACTGAAGCGGCTGTAGTCGACAAAGTCATGCTTCATGCTCGGCATTGCCCATGGGTCAAAATGTTCGGGGGGCACCTTGCCGACCATTTTCAGCAAATTCAACGCAACCCTGCCGATCACACTGACAGTGAAAGCGTTGCCAAGCATGCCTGCATACTTCTTCTTGCTGACTCCGGCAGGGATCCGTAAATGTCCTCCTGGAAACCCCTGAAGTTCTTCAATTTCATTCAAAGTCATGTGCCGCTGCATGGGTAGCAACATGTGACCTCCAGACTTGCACCGACTGTGCGTCAACGTCGGTGACTTTTCAGGCAGGGCTGCCGCGCCGCGCTTCAAGCTGCACCCCACATCGGCGCACCACACAGCATCCTGTGACGCCTTCAATCCAAACATGTAAGTGGTTACTGTGGCTATTTTTACTCACTCAGTACCTACCAATGCAGAATCGCAATTCTTTCAATCAAGGAAACAACCAGAACAAATTATTAACGACGAGCTAAAAGATGACCAATTTCCGGTAGCCAAAGAAAGAAAAATGATTGAGCCAACACAGGCCTTCGTGGCAGAACACTTCAGAATGGAATCCTGGATCATTTTGGCGACTGACACCAGGTGCTGCTGGACCCTTGCTTTGCCTTTCTCCGTGGTCACGCCGTGGTGTAAGTCAGAGACATCTGTGCAGTCCAGAAAACTGGACACGCTCCTGCTCGGGATGCGGGCTGGCCACTGCCATTTCATGGAAGGGTCCGCCTTTGCAATTTTCCAGCCAACAATGTAAGTGCGTAGCCGCGCTTGGGGCAAGCCACCTACAACGCTTGTGTCAAGAACCTCAGGAGGCATTGTCATGGTCGTAAAAATGATGAATCAACAGGACAACCAAGAAGCTTAAAAAAAACAAATCAACAATTAACCATAATTAACCAAATAATTTGCCATGAACGAGAACCTTGCATTCCACTTGGTACACTTTCTCGCCATTTGCATCTTCGATGGAACGTAGGAAAGCCAAAATGAAATCAAAGAGGAGCTTGAACTTCTTGTGCCGCGCTAATGGTTTGACATTCTCCAAGGCAAATGTCAGGGGCTGAATGGTCTTAATCGTCTGCAGAACACGCAGCAGCACATGAGCACGTTTATCGTGCAAGCCATTCTGCAAACCAGCCATGCTGAATGGCTGGCAGGGTGGGCCTGCAGTGTAGAGGTCGATTTCCGCACTGATCTCGGAATCATCCCTTGCCATGATGTTGTTGAAAATCCGAGGCTTGCTGCCAGCATGGGGCAAGCCACCAATGCCCTCGACTGCATAAGCTCCACCAGTAGCATAGTTGCTCTCCAACACTTTTCTGGCGTGGGCATCTTTCTCAGACAAGAACACGGTGCAGGGCTCGAGGCCTGCCATTTTCAAAGCAGCAGTAGCAGTGTCCAGACCTGAGCAATCTGAGCCAGTGACAATCATCGGAGCATTTCCCCTCGGATCGAACTGCCTTGCCTTCAACTCGCCCTTTCCTGGCCTGGTGGGTCGCCCGGTGGCCTTCTGGCCAGCCTTGTACTTGGCCACTGCTCTTCTTTTTTTTTGTGCTTGAAATGCTTTGGGTTTGAAACCCAAGAGGCGTGTGGCCCTGTGGCGCCGCTTGAACTGCAGTCTCGGCACCAAGAGGGATGAACCTCTTTTCCTGTCGGCCCTGTGTTGTGCAAGCCCAGCGTGGACAAACTCAGCCTCAGCTTGGGCAAGTTCCAGCTCGTCCATGGCTTGGTCTCCAGACGTGAATGGTCCTGAGATCTCACTTCAAGCCAAATGCCTGCAGTGTTATCATGGAAAGTTGCGAATTAAACGAATAGTCTAGAATCAATTAACACTGCAAGGGAGCCCATGACAACACATGTCTGGCTGAGCCAACTTGTCTCAGTCGGGTTGTCTCTGTATCTGTCCATCACCGACAAACACTGATATATTCGATGGACAACCACTGATAGTCGATGGACCGATGATCTTGACAGACAGACAGGCAGACAGACAGACAGGCAGGCAGGCAGACAGACAGACAGTGAGGACAGACAGACAGACAGTGACAGACAGACAGACAGTGAGTGACAGACAGACAGACAGTGACAGACAGACAGACAGTGACAGACAGACAGACAGTGAGAGAAAGACAGTGAAAGGCAGACAGTGACAGACAGACAGTGATAAGACAGACAGTGACAGACAGACAGACAGACAGACAGACAGACAGACCGTGACAGACAGACAGTGACAGACAGACAGTGACAGACAGACAGACAGACGGACGGACAGACGGACAGACAGACAGACAGCCAGGCAGGCACACAGACAGTGACAGAGAGACAGACAGAGAGACAGACAGTGACAGACAGTGACAGACAGTGACAGACAGTGACAGACAGTGACAGGCAGTGACAGACAGTGACAGGGAGTGACAGACAGTGACAGACAGTGACAGACAGTGACAGACAGTGACAGACAGTGACAGACAGTGATAGACAGTGACAGACAGTGACAGACAGTGACAGACAGTAGCAGACAGTAACAGACAGACAGTAACAGACAGTAAGCGACAGTAAGCGACAGTAACAGACAGTAACAGACAGTAACAGACAGTAACAGACAGTAACAGACAGTAACAGACAGTAAGAGACAGTAACAGGAACAGACAGAAACAGACATACAAAACACTGGCCGACACAGGTCTGGCAAACACAGGCAAGCTGGCAGACGCAAACAAACACTTGACTGAAGACGCAGACAAACAACAGACAGACAGACAAACAGACAGACAGACAGACTACCGACAACTGACACGCTGACAAACATTCGCAGGTAAACGCCACACTTTTTGATGATGCTGCTACGTTCTGCCGCCATCACATATCTTTGGTTCTCCTATGCATGTGTCTGTGTACCCGTGAGTGCGCTTGTGCGAAATGATGATTGCAAGCACCCCTTTCAAAGTCCAGGGACAACCGTCAGGTGCTATTTTTCGTCAGCACTGCATCATCGCTGGTCTTGCGCAGGGAAGCAAAGTGGGCACCTTTGACATGCCAGCTTTCAACCAAAAACAGTGAAAATTGCACCGACACGCAACAGTAGCGCACGTTGTCACTTCCTTGCCTGGTCCTGGTCCAAATTTCATCAGCCGGGTTTCTCACAATGTGTTGGCAGTCATTGCTGATATGATAAGAAACGCCGTCGCGGGCAACCCACAACCTGTCAGGAAGCGGCTGTCCTTTGCACACCAGGACCAGCAAGACATGCAAGATCCCATGGTTCAGCTGCCGGGGGATTTCCAAAAGCAGGGGGCAAGCCACCAACAAACTTGAGACTGCAGACTGCAGAGTCGCAAAGGGCTCAATGATCAGATGGGGGCTGGCCAGCTGCCAGTAAGTGAAGTTAAACTGCTTTGTCGGCTTTGAATCACATGATTGTCAGCTGCCACTCAATGAAGTTGAACTGCTTCCACTTTGAATCGCACCATTTTTTGCATTTTGAATTATCAAGTATGAAATATTACAATTTGATTAATTTAATCTGTAATATGCACACATCTTTCCAATATATATATATATTATATAATTATATATATATATATTTAGATGCAGTTTCTTTGGTACTATAAACATGGAAAAATGATCTGCATTTTTTCAAGACAAACTCCTATTTATTAGATACACTTTGGATAAAAAACCTGTTTTTTCTGTGTAAGGAATTGCTTGTAGGTAATTTTCGAAGCAGCAAAGAAGCAAATCGCACAAAAAACTTTAAAAACAGCCTCTCTCCACAATCCAGCTTCCAACTTCGCGAGTTTCGCCTGTCCCAGATGGGTCTGAATAGTGCTCAGAGTACCAATGTACTGATCATGCCGTGCAGGCACTGCAAAGATTCCTGGCCGAGGCGCCCACCTAAGCAAACATCATTGAAACTGACATGGTTTGGTATTACTTGGTACAAGTGCATGGATATCAATGAAATTCAATGAATATCCATGAATATCCTACACTGAAGACATGTTAAACTTAGTTAAATTTGCTGAAACTAGACACTTCTCTGTCCGGGTTTTATTCAGTCTGTATGTTGTGACCCCAGCTTCTGACGTAACAGTCGTTTGGTGATCCACAGTGAAGAACTATGTACCATTTATGTACCAAATGTTAACCCTTTTCCGGTTTGAAAAACTCTAGTGATCTCTGGTGACATCATGTCATGAAATGTGACATCGATGTGTCGAAGAGTAGGGCTGTATTGGGGGCCAAGATGCCAACACATTGCTCTCAAGTCACAGGAGGAGGCTGAAAGAGATGGGACCAGATTTGCCCTACATCGACTTTACAGTGCAGCAGCATGGTCCAAGGGACCATGGGTCTCAGTTGTGATGGCATGTGGGCATGGGGGAGAAGATTATTGCCAGTAGAAATCGTGAACAAAAGAATGATAAAGAATGTATAATATACTATAATTTAATATATTATAATATATATTGCATGTCTCACTCACTTGCGACGAGTTGTGACAAGACAGGTTTTGCAAGGTGTTGGCATTTTCATGGACTTAGTGACCGTGTTCAAAGAGATTGACTGGTCGAGGTTGTACCAAGCCTCGAAGTGAGTCACTACATCAGAAGTTACCATGAATCGGAAGAGGTGGTCCTCCATTTAACTTCACCGACTTTTACTGGACTCAGGATTCTCAGGATGTCATCAAATCACATGTCAATTCTCAGGACTCAAAGCAATTCTGTTTTTGCAAGAGTTTGCTGAGGTGGACTTCTACTGCCAGCGGCTCATGACTCTGCGGCCGAGCCTCAAGCCAGGTGCACCTTGCACTGGGTTTGGTGATATATTTTGAAATAATGGTTTAAGAATGTTTAAGACTCTATTGTTTCACTGTTCCACTTCTATTCCAGAAGTCTCCACAGCATTATGTAATTGGCATTGGGTCTGTGACTATTCGGATCTCAACAACTGCGAACTTATTCCAACTTCATTTCGACGCCAAATGGCAAGAGAAGCTCGGTAATGATTTAGATGATTTATTGGGCCAAAGTATTTGCTTGATTTAACCCCTCAAGGCGTTTGCAATCCAGCCACTTGAATCACCTTAATATCCTTTAAGTTTGCGTCGATATCCGATTTCACACCAACTGGATGGTGGAGTTTACCTATTACTCGTAGGATCCTTCTAGATCCTATTAGATATCCTATTCGATCCTAGTAGCAGGCTTCCATCCTATCTTGAAGATGCACTGGTTCAATAGAAGGGTCTAACAATTGTGTGACACCGGTGACACCTGGTTTGAATCTCATTGGGTCGGTAAATCAAGATGCATCAACGGTCCAAGGAGAATCTACTGCAGTGAGCCGTGCCAAAGAGCTGGTGAAGGACATGGAGAAGGAGGCCTGTCATGGATACTCCAGGTTGGCAGGGTGAGAGATTTCATGACATTTCATGAGATCCCCAATATCGAACATATTGAAACATTCAAACATATTCAAACCATCCCTGAATCTGGAATTACCTTTACCAGCGAATTTCTTCACCAACTTCAACGTTTGAAAGCAATTAATTAAATCAAAATCCAGCATATTTTGAATTCATTTCATTTAATTCAAACCGCTTTGATTGTTGGTGGTTCGTTCGGCAAGCAATTAGAGATCAGCTGTGGCCATGTTCTCCTTGTGTCTTGCGCAGGTCGCCACTTCGCGCCGCAACCTCCAGGTGCCAAGCATTGGTTGTTGCAAGACATTCCAAAGACATTGCGCAGGACAGTCATATACAGTATATAGACTCAATATAGACGCTGCCATTCACGGTGTTGTTTATTGAAATATATTGAAATCTACAAAAGATCGTTCAATCCTGTAGCCTAAGTCCAATGATGTCAAGGCCTTGGAAATTGAGTGACTGCTTGTCACATTGGTGTGACATCGTGATTTGCACAGGGGAGCACAGGGCCACTAGCTGGCTCCAAGAGCAATTATGAGGCATGGGATTGTGGATGTGAAGATGTTGCACTCCAGCAGAGCATCCAGTCTATTGACTATCCTGTTATTTATTGTTGAATTTTCAGCAAACAACGTGGGATGCTATGAACCGCGACATTTAATTTGTTCATAGCAGAGCTATGTGATTGAATTTGGGGAGGGGGGCAGGGCGGAGCAACAAATCATGTTTCCGCTGAGTGTCTTCTCTCTATTTTTTGTGAAATTATGTGACGATGTGTCAACCTGACATCCCTGAGGTGTTGTCGCAATCTCTCAAGGAGACGCAGCGACAATGCGAGAGTCTAAACCAAGAGATGGCCCTGAGCTCAAGTTGCACATTGTGTGAACCAATTCCTGTGACAAAATGAAATCAATGGAATTGGAATTATTGAATGCCTTGTTTATATTCATCTTGCTCGTGCTCAGTGTGGAAAGACGAGCAACCTAGCCTTTGCTTGGGAGTTTCTCGTCCAGTTGCTATCTACTCCCGAATTTGTAGGCTGTTGGGTGTTGTTCACTCCCGATGCATCTCGCCACCACAGCAGCTTGAAGTTCTGGTATGTTGAATAGCAACGAACATTTGGTCTATAAGTCTTGTGGTGAAACCAGTGCTGAAATCTTACATGTGTTCGAGATAAGAGAAACCACAAGGTTGTTACCGTTTGTGGCGCACTTGTTGCAGTGCTTTGTTGATCTTTGATGATCTTTGTTGGCGGTTGATTTTGTGGTGAACATATTCATTCAATTTCATTCAGGGAATGCTTTATGAGCATCTAATGAGGTGCAGCAAGCTGACGGAAATGAGAAACTGGTGGAATCTATGGGCAGCGTCAAGGCAGCGCGACTGATGAATATTATAATTACATGTTTACATGTCACTAAGTGAGTCTAAGTGAATCTATCTATTATATATATATAATAATTAATAGATATAAGTGATCGGTATTGACAAGTTCTGCCAAAGGCCCCACATTGCACGGAAGGGCAGAAGGGCCCTCCCAAGTTGGACACTGCGAGACAGATGCAGCGCACATCGGATTGGATGCCAAGATGACTAGCACCCGAGTGCCCTCCCCGAACAAATTTGTGAAACTCTGAAGTTCTGTGGTAGTTCTGTAGGTACAGGGCTTTACTCCCAACAAAAACGATTAATTAATCTAACAACAAAACAAACACTATCTACGACAAAAAAGGGAGGTCCAGATTCGACAAATGCTGCTGGACGGTTATAGTTTGATTTTCGTCGCCACAGCCGTTTTTTTGGAAAAAAAAGGATTTAGTGCGGTGGAGAAATGGAGTGAAAGATGTGAAAGATGTGAAAGCAAACAACACAAAGAGGATGAGTGATGGTTCAAGGACTTGCTGGGGAGATCGTTGTGGATGAGATATCAAAATCAGATAAAATCAGGTCACTTTCCAGCGTCCTTCCCATTGAATGCTGCGCGAAAGCACCATCCATGTCACTCAGTGCAGCGCCTGCCACACGAAAGCACACCAATGTCATGAAACGCAACGCCTGCCAAGCAAAAGGCGCCGGCGTCAATTCAGACCAAGCCAGACAACGGCGTGCCACGAGAATAGACTGTACGCCAAAAGGCCTTGCAATGGACATTTCGGGCGTCCGCAGAATGGTTTGGGCGTTCGCAAGATGGATTGCATGCCAAAAGGAAAGGAACGCGCAAACGGACATTTAATAATGTCCGAATCATCGGTTTCCGCGTTCGTTGCATTGCATGTATTGAATTGTAGTAATTATATGTAATTATACAAACTATGCTGAAACCATTTCCGCTCGCAAATGCACCATTTTTTTGTCGGAATCATGCTGTTTTTTGTCGGGGTACGGGTAAGGCACGTTACTAAAGTTCAAGTTGTGTCGTGGTTTGGAACTGAAGTTCAATTCCTGTCAGTTGCTCCACTACCTTGGAGGCAGCCAACAAGGGGCTCTTGGAGCAGATCCGTTGCTCAACTGCATCGATATACTATAAGTGAGCAAGAACCTGGAAATCATGGACTCTTACACAGTTGTTTCGGCTGGTTGGGTCTTGACCAATTGAAAAGAGCAACCGCACGTAAGTGTCACAAGAGTTTCCAACATTGGACCATTGCGCACTTTGTTGAAGCAAGCCTCCGCGCTATTTCTATCGATTCATCGAATTTTCATGAACCTTCCAGGATCGCAGCAGAATGACATCGCGCAGCTCACGCAGCAGTGTGTCAGCTGCGAGGCTTTGAATGGCTTTGTATGTATATGGTTTTGTTTCGGTCAGGTTGCACTGATTCAGACTGATTCACATTTGGAATATGTTGAGTGAGTATGTTGAAAAGTGTCAGCAAGTGTTGGGAAATGTTGGAAACACTTGGATACACTTAGACTCAGATCCAGGTGGACAAGGGTTGACAGAGTCAACTTGAACGTGAAAAGCCCTCACCGAATTGGACCGCTGAAAACAATTGAACACATTCCAATTGACACGAAAGCAAATCGTGTTCGCAACATTTGAATACATTTGATCCAATGTATTTCGTTGTATTTTCATCACAAGTCACAATGCTTGCAACAATACTAAGCCACTTCCTATTAAACTAAATGGTCTTAGCTGCTGGACTGCAAATCTTTTGGTAGGTTGGTTTGGCCGATTTTTGCTTGTCTAGCTGGTCTTCATAGTCATCCTGCATTTGCCTCGGCTGCAGGAGCAAGCGGAACAGCTCCGACGTCATCATGAGATGGAACGGGAACAGTTTCGACAAGATGCGCAGCATCAGGCAGCCCCGGACGCTGTTGCACCAGAGTGTGTTGATATGTATAGTACCCTGGGCTTCAGGAACGGATGATAGTACGTGTTAGTACAGTGGAACATTTTCGCTCAGATACTTGCGATTGCTTGTGTTTTGGTTCCAAACATTTTCGACATATCGCAGGGATTTGCAGGGGTTGTTGATCAGTGCACTTTGAAATTGAAAAAAAAAACGCACCGTCAGGCCACAATTCTTCGGGAGAATTGGGCTGAGCGGAGTTGCGAGGCAAAACTCCAGGTTGAGTCAGGATTGATGTCAGTGGGGAGTCAAGGGTGCTGAGATTGGTTTGGAACCATCATGAAACATCTATAGACGATTTATGACGATTTCAAATTTCAAAGAACACTGGAGATGCCACGGGTGACGCTGTAATTGCATATCTGTACGTGGTGTTTTCTCCTTTCGACTCTGCATACCTATACATATACCTACTGTACTTCCACTGTGGACGGTTGTGCTTATTGCCCCCATTGGATAAGGTACCTCGTCCCTCCAATCAAAACATCCATCCGGAAAGAGAAAGCCGCTGTCAGGTTCAAAACAAGCTAAGAGCGCAGTTGAGGCGCTTTGCTACGCTTTGCTACCACAAGTGGGCAGAAAATGCAAAGACTCCAATAAAGCCTACGATGTTGATAGATGTTGAATATTGTTGAATCATGAGGACCTTTATTTAATATATTTTAATATCAAAGGCGATGCAGCTATTCGCAGTCATATACGAAATGTTAGGAGAATGCATTGCAGCTCAGTGCAGCTTCAGTCAGTTTTTGTCTCTGCCTGTCTGCAATATATAATGGTCCATAGTGGTCCATAGTGGTCCATGGTGGTCCAGGTGGTCGCTGTTCGCCAGGAGTGTGGAGCTGAAAGCGGTGTCGCTGCAAAGCACCGTCACCGAGCTTCGTGGAGACCTGCAGGCATCGAGCCTTCACAACGAAAAGCTGAGAATTCCAGGAACAAAAAGAAAGAACATGGTAAAACATGGTAAAACATGAAAATACAACAAAACTACACAAAACTATCGAAAACTCAAGGAGATCCAGACATTTGAAAGACACTAGGGATTTTTAGATACACAGGACCTGAACTACCGCAGAATTCCACGAGCTTTTCCAAACATTCAGCCTAAAACGGTACTGGTAGCATTTCGAAGGGCTTCGAAGCTCGCAAGGACTCAACACTCAGCGCACTACGTGCCACACATTTGCCACACATTTGCCACACGTGCCATGTGCGAGTCATTGTGAGGCAAGACGCAGTGATGCCATCGCCCTCTCCGCAGAGGTGGCTGCCTGGCTCAGCACCTGGCAGCAGGTCAGGGCGAGATGTGTGATGTGTTTCTGTGTTTGAGTAGAGTAGAAAAGTATGATTGAAAACGTGTACTAATTATACACATATAATTATATAATTATAATGTACGATATATATATATATTATATATATATATAATTATAGTATATTGACTTGTTATGCAATTGTTTGTAATTTATGTTTATGTAATATGTAACATTTGGAAAGGTTTGTAAAGACAATTGAAGATGCATGCATATTTTAGAGGTCATTAGCTTTCGCCTTTTCCTTTGCATGGCCAGATTTTCCAAAGATGCTTGATGCTTTGCTTACCATGTGTACTTGTGGCCAGAAAATACTTGCTGCTAAATATCTTCCAAAATCACCTCGTAGGATTTTTCTCGTCAGTACCTGATGATACCTCATCAGCCAACTGTCACCTCATCAATCTCGTAATTAGATGCAATCGGTTGCTATTTATTTATCATCGTTGTCATCGTCATCGTCATCCTCCATCATCATCATCATGTACCATCATCATCATCGTAGCAATCAAGATCCAGGAACCTCCCACTTGAGTCGACCAAGCGTCCATGTCCGAGGTACCAGTTGTTTTTTTGGATATTCATTGCATACTTTGAAAAATGGACATTATTTGACTTTGACAACATTTGTCAAAACGACTTCATTATGACTACTCTAAAATTCCTCAGATTAGTCAGATGACTGGTGGAGTTTCCGGTGGAGTGTGCTGGTGTCGGAGGATATCCCTCTGCAGCTTGGAGCTCAGCAAAAGACATCACCGGAGCGGACTACGACCAATTCGTTTAGCCTTTGAAGCAAAGTAGGCTGTGGCCCTCTGCATATTGTATGATATTGATTGATATTGTATATATACATGTATATACAATATTATACAATAATACTAGTCTAATGTTAACTATATTACATGTACTGTAGAATTATATATATATATAATATCCCTGAAGCCTCCAAAGTTCAATATATATTTTGTATTCTTTGATTTTTGACCTAGTTTTCCTGAAAACCGGACAGTTTTACTCAAAACCGTTCAAATTGAACAAATCGGCCAAAAGTTCAATTCTTGGAATGCATGAGCTAGCTTCAGCCCCAGACAATACCAACATGATCCAGAATTACAATTATCAACCAACGTATGCTGCAAAAACATAATTTCATTGGTAGGGTAACCCCATTCTCATGGTTGACCAATGTTGACCAGTTGACTACCACTATCTACCACTTAAATTTAATCCGTGTGTGATGATGGTGTTCATCATGCAGTGCTACTTACCTGCATCAGAGCAAGAGCTAGTGATTCCTTCCACATGGGAGGATGTGCTGGAAGACTTCGACCGTCAGCTTGCTGAAGTCTGTCCATCCTGAAATCTTTAGGAAGGGATATATATATATATGTATATATATATATATATCGATGACTAAATCTGCGTGCTTTTGTTTGCTTTACCTTTTTCAGGAAAAAAAAGAAAAACACACCAGAATTATGCGCAACAAATGCGCAAATATACGCACAAATCCCCAAATATGCGCAAAATCCGCAAATCGGGATTTGTCAATTTTCTGGATTCTTTTGTTTCTGGTCATTCTGTCCTAGTTCCATGGGTTGAGGGTTCTACCTTCAATAACCTTCAATCATTGGTGCAAGCGGGACAAATTCTGCCTTCGGAAGTAGTGGTTGGACAATACCTTTGCAATGTGTACGTTGCAATGTGTGCTTTTCAGGCTTAAGTTGGTTTTGAACCTGTCAGCTTCAAAATGCAACTGTATTACTGTAAATTCAGTGCCCGTTGTCTCTATAGACCTTCTTTGGAGGGCTCTGAGTACCACTACTAAATGTCTACGACGATCGATAACTTGGGGGAACAATAGGCAGGTGAGATATGATAAAATTGGTTTGTGGTCAAATGCCCCGTTCAGTTTTTTCTGGACACATCCAGTTTTCCCAAAACCGTTCAAATAGGACAAATGGGGGCTTCTTAAAATGGGGGATCCCCAAAATGGTTGGTTTATAATGCAAAATCCCAATAAAATGGATGATTTAGGGATACCCCCATTTCAGGAAACCTCCAAATAGGTAAGAAATTCAAATAGTTCAAAATATATTGTATTTTGGAAGGTTCAGGTTATATATTATACATACATCATTACATCATGTTCAAACACTAGTTTACACTAGTAGTTTATACGCATAGACCGTGTCAATTATGTGTATATAAAGTGTATAATTACACAATACAGTAAGATTAATTATATTCCAGCAGTCATTTCAGTTTTCTTGGTTGCAGACGATCCAAATTTGATGCCAAGGCTCTTGGAACCGTTTCAAAAGCAACGGCAAGCAAAGACTGCCGTTGGAAAGTCGATCAGCATGGGGCTTGGAGCAGCTTGTATGATCATTTAATATACTAGGCTGGTGATGCTGGTGTCCAGTCGAATCACATGAATCATACAACTGAACCCGACAAGCTGGGGCACCTTTGGACAAATTGGAATCGGAAATTTGGCCGGCTCAAAATAGCTGCTAGCTAGCTATCTCAAGTTGTATGAGGAGTAAATTTGACAAGGCAATCATATACCAGTATCTTGTATTATCTTGTAACATCTTCGACTTTGTGTTGAGAAATGTTGAGATCTCTGCATCCCTGTATCCTACAGCCGGTGCCATGAGAGCGCCGTTGTGCTGTGAATCACACAGCCGCGGCATTGGCCATGAATGAGAACAGCTCCGAAGATGAGCTGCCAGCCAAGAAGCCTCGGCGCCCTGAGGCGATGGCTAAAAGCCCTGAAAACACTTCTTGAACATTCTGCATTCGCCGGAGCATATCTTCAGCAACCTCCGGAAAAAAAAACAACTTGGCAACTCCAAATCTCCCTATATCTCCCTATATCTCCTTGTATCTCCTTGTATCTCCTATAATTATAATATCTACCCCTTGGTCTCTAAAAGTGAAACGTAAAGATACGCAAAGTGCTTTTCGAATGCCTGCCGTGCAGTTGTAACTGGAGAATTTCATGGAACACTTCCAATTCAGACTTTAATAACGAAAGTGTGACATTCGGAGCTGCACTACAGATTGATGGCACTTCTGTCCCAACAGATTCATTGCTGGTACTGGTACAGTACTTGACTGGTACAAGAATCTCATCGGAATGTGCAAACTTGGTTATTTGCACACTCTTGTCATGACTTGCCCACCTCTCTTGCTGGCACTCGTACAGTTGACTCACTCATGCTCTGAGATCATTCAGTATAGATGAATATGAATGAATATGAGGGATAAGAGTAAGGGGTTGGATGAGAATGCGGGGGTGGGGGGTAGTCCGACGTTACTTCTGGAAGGTTGGGGTTAGGTGGGGTTGGAAGGAGTGTGCAACGGTAAATAAATTTCAATAATGGATGGATACCAATAAATCATTAAACTAAATCATATAAAATAATTATCATGGACATGGACATTGTTCTAATCTGATTAATATGTTCTAATAGGTCTCTAAAGTGCCCACTGTTTCAGTTCCCAATCAAAATCAAATTGCCAGGAGCTCCTTGAGATTCGGCTCCTTTCTGCAGCCACGGGGGACACCTTGCTTCGGTTGCCCAAAGTGGACAGAAGCTGCAAACTTGGAGTGCTGAAGGTGGGCTATGGCTATGGGTTTGGATTGTTTGGGACATGGAATTTGTGGAGCAGGATGGTCGCCAAGGTGGTATAAGATGTATGAGAGAAACATGTTTGTTTGAGCCTCTTTTGAGATGCTAGATGATTCTAGATGAGGTGGCCAAGACTTGGATTTGGTTCGGCAGTTTGGCCTATATAGTTGACCCGGAGACATTTTATCATTTTTGATAGAAATTGATAGAGTCATAGAGCCTGTGTCCCATGATTCCCTGGGATGTCTTGTGAACAAGCGACATGTTAAAGGGACAGGAAATAATACTATATATACAACCCCGGATGATTGTCTTGACATTTGGATACGGTATGATATGTATTACAGTATTATGATATCAGATGAAGATGCTACATCATATAGTATCATGATATTATACAATCTGAAATATGCATGTATATATGTTTGGTGTCGATGCAGGAGATGATAGAGGCCGCCCTCAGAATTCCCAGACCTGCGCAGCGCCTGTTGTTCCAGACAGAGGAACTGAACCAGGAGTTTCACCTGGATTGAATGATATCATTGATGGAGGATTGAGGATGTCTTGCCCAAGTTGACTTCATACCGTGATTGCGCATAATTGACATTCGAATCATGAGATCTGCTTGGATCGATTATAGGAAACTTGTTGCCTTGAGGATTACAACACGTTGGGAAGCCTCCTTCCGCAGGACGCATGGGGATTTGATGTTTTGTGAGGTGTGTGATTGGACCGCTATTTTTCTTTTTACCCCATGCGGCCCTGCCAGGATGTGAGGTATCTTGATCTCACAATAATCAAGCAGCAAACTCCACCAGATGCTCTTTTTAAAGAGGCTTGCCTTTTTTTTTCGGCCGCGAAAGATGTTGGGGGGGCATCGGATGCCAGTTGGCACTGTAGGAGACAATAGTAATAAATATATATATATATTACATACATATCAAATATAATTTCAAATATGAAGTCTCTGTGTTTTGGATTTGAGTTGCAGGCCCAAGCTGGCAATGGTGCCTTGGAACGAAACAGCGAGTTGTGAAGCTTGTGAGTTGATGATTGGAGGTGAGGAAATGCAGCAAATGCAGGACATGTAATGGACATGTGATATTCTGATTCAATGCCTGGGTGGTTCGCAATGAGGAAGCACCTGCTTGGCCATGTTCCAACTACCTGACATTGAAGAACTGCTGCAGTACTTCGACGAGGTGCAGCTGTGTCAGAAAATCACCAACATTGATGGATCATACTGTAGAATGTCTTCGGGCTCTTGGTGGTCATGCCAGAAAGGGCTGTGCCAAGAGAGGCGTGCTATGTGATATGAAATGAACACGAGGTTTCCACCGTTTCGACAAGAAAACGGTAGCATGATGAGTCCATTCACTGAACTCTAAGAGAAAGCCTAATATTCCGGTTTTACCTACGGGTGCAAGTCACAGCAGTGCAGGATCAAATTTTGGGTTTCCAAAATGATTGCAAATGGGTGTTGCGCTGATTATACTGCTGTAGCATTGTCGCAAGAGTCTATTGAATTCTTAACCAGTGTCACTTTCCTGGAAAGGGTTCCAGTGGATAAACAGCCACTTACCGCACCATGGTTCGCCAAACATTGAATGACTCAGGCAACTCAGAGAAGTTCCTCGTCTTGAGCAGCGTAAATGAAATGCAAATGAGGCAAATGCCACATCATTTGGGTGGGCCCAGCAAAGATTGAAAGATTAGGCCCTGTTGTGGCAGCTAGGGACTAATGAGAACATCAGGGACATGTGTGTGGGTGCGTGCTGTGCATAGGACATGTCATGATGTGACTTTCTTGTTGGCATTTTTCAGTCAGCAGAGGATCCAGGAAATATTTGGTGGGTCTAATTGTTTGTGCACTCTCTGGAGACGCTAAACACCTTGAATCTTAGGGAAATGCCTGGTTTTGATTCTTTTCCACCTACTTAGGCTGCCTTCATGCAGCGGCGGAACAGAGACTTTCGGCCTCTAGGCTTTTGCTGATTTTTACTTGAAACAAGAAAATCGGAGCTATTAAAGACGATCACAGTCAAAAACAGTCAAATGAGCGCCTCAAATCCACTGCAAAAAACAGGTTGATCATGGTTGATCTCTTACACAGATTCCATTTTGGTGGACAATGTGGAGGTTAAGTTTGCGCAGTTCCAGTATCAGAGACCCTTTCGAAAGTATGCTAGATTGTTAGATGCTTCACAGCTTCACAGTTCACTTTCGTGGAAATTCATGGCTTCGGATCATATCGACTTTCGGTAAGCCGCTGCTGAAACCTAGGCTACTTGCCTTGCGATTCTGGAATCTCCGCACTTCCCCCACTTGAACTTGGAAAGCAGCGGAAGGTGCTGCGTACTTGAGGGGTGTTGCATGGTGTTGCGGAGGGTGGCGGAGGAGACAATGAAGAGAAGTTGTTGAAAGATGTTGAAAGAGGCAGTTTGTTTTTCCTTTTACCATGTGCCATTTCCCATGTCACTTGAAGCTTTTGGAATCGACCTTTCCGATTGAAACTATTGATAGCGCTAGGACCTAGGACGCCCCAGCCTGGCCACGGAAAAGTGAAGGAACCGATGTAATTCAGAGATTCACTACATTTCACTACAACATATGCATAAATAGCTCACAGAATCTGGCAGAAATAACACAGTTATATAGTATAGCAATGTATAGCACAGAATGTGATGAATCTGGCATCACATTACAAACCAAAAGCCAGTGCTTGAATGTGAATGCCACGCAGGATGACGGCGCTGCATGCGGCCATCAGATCTGATTTGCCAGATGTTTGCAGGGCAATTCTTTCAAGAAGCGACTACCAAGGTGGGGACATGGGAAGACTTTTCCCATCTTTTTCCATCTCCCCAGGGTCCGCTAAGATCAGCTAATTATAGCTAAGTAAGTTATATAAGTAAAACCTGATGTCACGAAGAATGTATGGTCGGATTAGGGATGTGGCACCTGATGTCACGATGTAGACCCTGTTTAGCTTGCGATCCGACCCAGGGCGCGCTCGAGACGCCAACATTGGGGAGCTCTCGGTCTTGCATTTTGCCATTCTGTATCGGCACGTTGCAGCTCTTCAAGCTATGGTTTCTCGTCAAGATTTGCCAGAGATTGCCAGAGTATTCAGGCGATTAAGAGTTTATTCAGCGCCGCGGCGCTGTGAAGTAGTAACATGTCGCTTAAATTCGTTTAACGATGTTTAATGATGTTTAACGATGTTTAATGATGTTTAATGTACGATGTGTAGCAACATGAGGTGTTGGCGGAAACATAAAGTTTGTTCGTCCAAGAATCGATGCTGGTTTTCGAGTAGGAAAGGATCAGGTAGGGTGATTTGAACGCTGGAACTTGCTTGCACAGCTGATGATGCACTACGAGTCATTGGGCGGGGTATTCACACTTGAACTTGCTTTGGAGCAAACATAGATACGCACACAAAGTTGAAACGCACGCTTGTGATCGCAAGAATAACAAGGCACACTGGTGAGGATAGCGGTGACGAGTGTACCAGCCTTGAACAAGACAGACAATAAGACACAAAAGATCACAAAGCAAAGATATGAATTGCACTGTTGAGGATTGCTGGACTCCTTGGCCAGTTGACCAGATCCCACATTTGTGATTTTCAACATACCCTCGGGTTTAACTATGTTTAACTCAACGGTCTCTGCAACTTAGCATCAACCGATATCAACCGACTGGATCTTTGTCAAATGTCTTCAGACTTAAAAGATGTTCAATATTTTATTTTTCAAGCATTCTTCTGAACATTCTTCTGAACATTCAAACAGATTCAAGAACCATTTCCCAGATATTCCCAGCATTAGAGAACTGTCCACTCTGTGGCAGGTCCCCTTGCTGAGCCGGGATGCTTTGATCGAACCTTTTCCCGACTGCCGGTTCTGGGCGAATGGCTGGTGCCTTGGTGCAGACCTATGTTGGGGGATGGGAGATGAATATTAAACATTATTAAACCATGAATATTATCATAATTGATGCTAAGATATTTTGGCTACTAAATAATATATGATAATAGTGTCTATTAGATTCTGATATTATTAATTTAATCTGAGTTGATTCGTACTATAGAGATCTACAAGGATTGACCAGATAGAACTGAAATTGTTGATCTATGGTGATCTCCAAAGACATACAACGTCCATTTCCGAAGATTTGCATAGGTGGACCATGGTGGACCATGGTGGACAAACATGTGGTGAAACTGTCAATTGACACGACCCTGCATAGGGACCTGACCATTGGGGAATGGACAGCTGTTGTTGTTCGTGATGTGCTTGCAGACCACAGATTGTGAGGGACTGTGTTTCAATCTCGATTCAACTTCTGTGAGTATGTGGCTCACTGAGGAAAATGTATGAAGGCTGCCGCCCTCAGCAAGTTTGTGAACAGATGGGTTTGACAGAAGCTGCCAAAGCCATCAGTGAGAAAGCACCTATGCCAGAGGCATGCTCAGAGCTGTGCCCAGTGGCGCCCATACATTTGGAACCCAGAGAACCTGAATGAACCTGAGTTGATGACAGTGCAAACAGACTGAAGAATTTTTTTCAGCAGAGAAGCACCGGCCATCTGTGGCCGCCCCTGGCGTCTTCCTGGAGAGACCGTATTCCACACAACTGCAAGGTACCAACGCCCGATGAGATGTGAGTTGAACTGATAGATGGTGAGGTACTCCCCTTCTCCCGTCTTTACCGACAAAAGGATGCCACAAAATATGCAAGAGGAAGGATTGGACCGAGCTGCATCTGGCTTTAGTCACTCAACTGTGAAATTTGCATGAATTTGCTTGATGCATCATGATGCATCGTGATTCTTGATGCAGTCTGCATGCATTCTGCTTGGTGTGTTTGCAAGGTATTGCAAGGTATGCTGAGACAGTTCTGATAGTTCTGCGAGGTCCTCCTGACAATTTCTGGAAGCAGTTTGCGATGTATTGCAGTTCCCTGCGATGTCAGAAACTCGGCCACAGCCGATCACTCAACGCATCTCGACGCCTCGGAGGGACAGCTACACCGCACCTGAAGCCACAGTTTAGCAACGGCTCCCACGGCTGCCGGGAGATGCCGGGAGATGCCGAGAGATGCCGGGAGATGCGGGAGGTTCAAGTTGGATCAGATGGGAGATGTTGAGAATTTTACGACGACGAGGCTCAAACCATCTCGAAACCTTGACATCCTTGACTGATTGCACACTCAGCTGCTGCCACCACGGGTGAAACCGAATTCGCAGCTTTGTCCTCGGTAACCACGCCGAGACAAAAAGTGCCCTTCCGTCGTTGGCAGATGGAAAAGAATGAAAAAAACAGGATAAAACATATGTGCTGCAGAGAGTCAATAACTGGTTACTCGTAGGAGGAATCACGTCGCTCTCATCATCTCTCATCGATTCCAACTTCTATACACAGTACGTTTGTTTGAATCTAACTATAGCATGCACGGGGGTGTGCCTAACCCGTCGTTTTTATCTCAAATGTTCCTGCCTTTGTTACCTGAACGCACAGCTGGACTTGTCCAAGCAAAAGAGTTTCCAGCGCCGTGCATGACTCTTCACAGTGTCTATTTTAGTATATTTTAGTAATATTAAATTTAATATTATAGTTTAGTTTAGTATATAATATTTTAGTTTTACGTATTATGTTTTAGTTATCAAATGTTATCAACGTTATCATCCTTGCGGAAATACATTTGAACATGTTGAAAATGTTGAGCAGTCGAAAGATGTCGAAATGCAGTGGCATTTGTTTTTTGAGGTGAGCTTCGGGCAAAGTTATCCCAGGAGCGTGAGGAACGACGCCAGGACTGGTCACAGCGGGTTCAGATTTCAGCTGCTAAGTGGCACCACCATTTACTGCAAATCATCAGATAGCATCAGATACTCTTAAACCCCTTAGTCGCACCAACTCAGTTGTAGAGCCAGAATTAGCTGGGGAAGTCAATGCAGTCAATTTCTGGACCTGTGATGGGCGGAGTTCCATACGGGGAAGGAACTGACAGCAAAGTTGGCGGGACTACCGGGTTCCGCTGTATCATGAGGATTGTACCAGGATTGTGCATATTGTGCGAAGCATGAAGTGTATGGAAAGAAAAACATGTCAAAACAACAGTAGTGCAACAGCACAACAATTGCTGCTGCACTTGAACAAAAACCATGAGCTTGATTTGGTGCAGAGCGTTCCAGCCAAAGAAAAGTACAGCCATTGAGAGTTGAAAGGGGATCCGTGTGGGGTGAAGCAAGGACGCTGCTCATACTAGTACCATTTGAATATGTTTTAAACTAGTAGTTTAAGTGTTTTTAGGTAATGACTTTGTCTTTCTCATGCAGTGAATGCAAGAAATATGATTTGTATTATGTACATACCGAAAAGCTATTATTGTGTAATTACATCATATTACATCACTATTCACTACTCTTTCCAAACCAATCAAAGATGTGACATTTCACTTAGTAATCTTAGTAAAAATCAACATCCTCGTTTGTTTTCCGGATAGATCAGCCTTGCACCAGACTTGTATCCTCCAATATCTCTTTTAGTGGTCTTTATGATGGGTTTTGCCGTTTGCAATGCAGCCTCCAGGATCTATGTGAGTGGTTTCCCAAATGAATGTCTATGTTAGTGTGGTTTAAATGGATTTCGCACTTAAATCCCAACATCTGTCTTAGTAGCCTCAATGAGTCCGGCATGTTTGGTGAATCAGTTATGGTTCGATCTTCATAGCTTTTCTTGATACACAATGATTGTTATGATTCATGATTGTTATGCATCCAGGTCGAAACATATTGCGTGTCCTTGCTTCTTGGAAAATACGTTTGCATTGTCGCTGACTTTTTTGGGGTCAACTGATACAGTACAAGGCCGTTTGGAGAAATTGGATATTTGGCCCCTTTGCAGCTAATCAATGGACTGTAAGGACGAGAATCTCCACCCTGTCTCCAGGAAAGCCTCCTGTCGGGCCGAAAGTACGAGTGACAGCCTCAATGTAAATGTTTGGATCATGCGAGATCAAATTCCACTTATATTTTTGATGTTTCAAATATGTTCGGATGGACAATGCATGTCCAGCCAAGAGTTCTTCGCCATGTTTCGGGATGCCTCGGCATCTTGTTCACAAGAAATGTATAATCGTGATATTGTGTTCCGGAGATTTCCGTCGATTCCAGAGAAACTTTTCCTTCAGCCGGTATGAACCAGAGGTAACCAGAGCCCTTCCCCACGACCAAGCCCAGTTGGCCATGTTGGAATGCAGCCACAGCTCCCAAGGGAATTGCAGACAGACAAAGAGGATTTGCAAGCTCGAATCGTGAGGCAGGACAACTTTTCATAACTTTTCTGGACACGTCCTGCCCTGCCCTTGCTTTTGCTGACAATGAAAACCCCCAAGTTGCAGACCGTTGCAGAATATTGCAGACATGGAAACCGGAGCTCGGGAATTCAGAACAAGAATGAACAAGAGGTCATGTACATGATAGCTTTCCGGCTTGCAGTTCTCGTAGCTCCAGTAATCCAAAAAGGTGGCACATCCAAAGCAGTTGAATGTGTATATGACTTGAACTACAACATCATGCTGTCATGCTCAAGCAGATCCTTCATGAGAATTGGTCATGGCAGAAAGACTGGGCGTGGGAGAAGGCAGTTCAGCTGTTGCAGGGAGTCCTCCCAGTTGGAGTCAAGATTGCAGGCCGGGGACGGAGTTTGCTAGAAGCATAGTGGACAGAGATGGACAGGGAAAAATATGGAAAAATTACAAACATCGCCGTGAGTGGAAAAAAGCCAAGATGTAGAGGCAGGACTCAAGACTACACTGCAATCTCTAGCTTGCTGTACAAGTCCAGCACATACCTCATGTTGATGACTGCATCCCGTAGGATGCTGAATGATGCTGCATGACGCTTCCATATGCTGCCCTTTCAAACACATGTCACATGTTCCGCTTGTGTCGGCAGGCACTGGAGAAGCGTCAGCTGGAAGAAAGACAGTCGTGGGTCGAGGTTGCGGATGGCAGATGACGATGATGGCAGTGATTGACATGTGGTTTCCTTGCAGTTCCCTTGCAACTGCTTGACATGTCTGATGGATCTTGGTGGATCTTGATGGATCTTGATGGATCTTGATGTTCATGGGATTTGCGCTTCTGCTGCCGATGATGATGATGATGATGATGTAAATGATGTAATTACATGATGTACATGATGTACCGGATGTTCCTGGACAAAAGTAACAGATGGCAATACAGAAATGAAACAAATGAAGTACGCACCACTGTGTACATTCACCAGCGCGCACACACGACAAGAACAATCATGCCATATCATGCGCACACATACTGTATTGATACTGTTTGCTACAAATGGAATCCCTTCGGGCTGGAGTGATATTTACTGAGATACCGAAACAGTAGCAGTTTATTCATGACGAATGATATGACAGCTTTGTTTCATCATGTTCAGCATCCTGCTCCTCCTTTCCCACCCTTCTAGCTTACGTTCCTTATCCCTTGGCCTCGACTTCAAATATGTTGCTATTTTGTGGTGCCAACTACAAGCAACATATTGAGTTGTGCTGTAGGAAAGGATGCGCATGGAGCAGCTCTGTGGGGAACAACTGCAACAGCTAGAACTTTGTCAGGAAGCACTGAGGGATGCTGAGGGTGGCAAGGATTTGGGAGATGCGACTGAGAACTAATGACCAATGACTGATTGATGCAGAGACTGATAGACCCATCTCAAGATTTGAGTCTCCTGTGGTTGAGCTGAAACAGCTGCATCGATACTACCAGTTCCTTTTGGTGTTGTTAAATGAAACATTGATGGGGGCTGCCAGGCTCCAAATCTGGAGCGACACTGTCTTGATTTCTCTGGTGGGATTCTCTTTCCAGACCACCCGACTTTTAAGACTTAAGAGATCTTTTCTAAGACATTCAGAGTTTCGATTTGGCGGCTCTTTCCAACTTCACCTCGGGGCCAGGGCAATCTCACGAAGACAGAGCGGGATCTCGCCATAGCTGAAACAGCTGTGAGCTCCAAGATGAGTGAAGTCTCAAGTCTTGAGAAGGCGCCAACTCGATATTATCCACAGCATAGACAGCGCAATAGTACCGTACTATACCATACTTATACCAGTATGTATGCATGTATCATCAAAGGGAATTTAGAAGTGAAACTTCCGCGTTAATTACAGAAATTTAAGAAGAGCAGAGTAGAGAAGAATATAGCAGAGTATAGAGGAGCAGTGCACAGTAGAGATGAGTAGAGTCTACCTGAGTAGAGTAGGCTAGGGAAGAGAAGAGTAGGCGAGGCAAGAGAAGAGTAGACAAGAGCAATGAGGAGAAGAGTAGTAAAGTAGAGCCGGGCAGAATCTTGCAGTTTTCAGATGGTTTTAGATCTTCAACTTTCTTTTTTGACGGAAGTCTCGCACAAAAGCTTTGCTTTCGTAAGTTCAACTTTCACTTTTGGAGGAAGCCTCACACGAAATGTGTTTTTCAAAGACAAGACACTGCGGGTGCACGACAACGCGTGTTTTGAAGATGGGCAAAGTATGCGACGATTTCCAAACAATCTCAGGTCATTCTCGGATCATCTCGGATCAGATTGGCTGCGCGTTGGAACTGAGGTTTCAATGATTTCGCTGTTTGATGATGTTTGCAGTTTTGCAACTCAGGGCTTCCAAATCGCATTCGGTCGCTGCGTCAACGTTGCCCAGTGCTGCAGATGCATGATGCACACGCACTTGTAGTTCCTGAGCAACATCGAGACAGCCGCACCATGCTGCACCAATGCGATGTGCAAGCACAGAGTCACAAAACAGCAAAGAACTACATGCGCAGCCACAGAACTGAGCAACGTTGACGCAGCCACTCTGATTCAATTATATAGCAAGTAACCATTTGAAAAGGATCTTTGGTATTTGTCGGATGTGAATCCAGGGACTTCCAAAAGGCCTACAGGTGCTCCCAAAACACCTAGAGTGCGCACTTCTGACCACAGAACTTGCTGCCAAAACCTGTCACGACACAGGCTCTGGAAAGAAGAGACTGTCCTTGAGAAGCAATCGTTCACATGTTTCCTGATTTTACCATGAAAATGTCAATAATAACCAAACCGATAACGTAGCGATAACCAAAAATTGCCGAAAGGGGCCGAATCCATCCCTGGAGTGGCGCGTCAAGTCTTGAAACATGTACTTGGCGTGGCCCAGCCTGGGCTTGAAACCTGTCATAAGACAGCTTTCATCAAACGATCCACAGAGATGAACAGAATCTGCAGAAGCAGAAAGCGCGCAACAGTGCAAAGACCAAGCGGTTCTGAGGGAAAATCCTTCCGCACTTCGAAGACAAACAATGGACAGCAGACTGCTGACCATGAAGCGCCCATATTGTTGATGTGGAGATGCGTGGAAATGGATCTCCAAATCAATAGCCGTTGTTTAAGACATGCTACGAAACCATGTAAAGTGACATAGCGAACTACCTAAAACGATAACTTTTGCTCATGACCCCCTTTGTCATCCTTAGTTTTGGTCCTTGCTCATTTGAGTTGGTTTTTCTTAACAGCGAAGTCCTCCGTGTAGCTACCTTCGCAGTCCACATAGGCTTCGCGTAGACTTCGCGTAGGCACCCTTCGCAAACTAAAGCCCCCGCGTGTAGGCTACTTACGGAGTCCGCGTGCGCTTTGCGTAGACTTCGCGTAGCCTTGATGAGCTTAAAGGGCGAAGCAACACAAAACACAGTTCATTTGCTTCTTTGTCAAGAAGCAGGGTGAGCCCACCAAGAATTTCCTTTTTCAATCCGCCTTGCTTCAGATGCATTCAAATGGCCGTGTTCAAGTGATGTTCGAAGTTGTGCGTGCTGGTGCTTATTGCGTGTCGTTTTTTAATTGGTTACAAATCGTTTTCTAGCGGCTGCGTCCAGGTCTGCGTCCAGGCGATGTTTGAAATGTGTTGGTTTTGCATCGTTTTGCAACCCAGTGGTTCTTCTGCGGAGATGGTTGCATTGCTGGTGCTGGTGGGTGCCGAGACCCGGGCCTGGGAGCAATGTCAAGAGATGGCAAGAGACGATGCCGAGAGAAGGAGATCAAGAAAGAAATGCTACCGTAGGGGAATCAGATGTCACCACAAGCACTAAGAGAAAAACATGATACCCCAGATCACAAGACTAAGAGTCACAAGAGAAAGAAGTGTCAAGAAAGACAGGGGGGCAAGGAGGAAAATATTACAATGTAATGGGATTGCCACGTCAAGGGATGTCAAGGACAAGAAATTTCAGGAAAAGATGTAAAAAAAAACGGATGTCAAGAAAAATGGTGTCACGAGAAAGAGAGGACGATGAGGAAATGTCAAGAGGAATAGATTTCGGAAGAAAGCGATGTTGTGAGAAAGAGATTTGAAGAAAGGGACAATGTCCTGAGAAAGAGATGCCAAGAGAAAACCGATGTCAAGGTCAAGAGGTGTCAAGAGACACAGCTGACATGGAAAAGACATGTCCAGGGCAAGAGGTTAGAATTCAGGGAAATAGAAAGAACTTGCAAGAGAAAAAAACAGGACACCTTTTTCAATGCACAGATGGTATCTCATACAGCCTATAGATACAGGATCTTACAGGATTACATAGCCACATCTTCTCTCGCTAAGGAGGTGAAGAACAGTTGAAATCTGGCCCGGAATTGCTTACATCACTTATGCCATCTTATGTCTGTATAGCATGAACATGTTATTTGAATGCATGAGATGAAACGAAGAAAATCATTCGACCTGATGCGAGCAGCAGAATAGCACATTGGATCAGAGATGGATCGTGGATGGATCATGATCCGTCAAAGTCAAATCATAGTGACCCCTGCACATTTTCAACTTGGCCTGTGGAAGGTTGTGGCTGAACTCCAGCGGCAATTTCGAGAGGTGAAGGATGCCCTTGCAGCTGCTGTGGGCCTCCCCAGGGCCTACCGTAATACAAACGCCCAAATAGTTAAACACAGACGCTGTTCATTTGGTCCGTTTTGATGAGCCCTTTTAGATCCCCGGATGACAGGGGCTGACGGGCGTTGAAACCATAGAAACGCAGTGCTGTTTTTGGCGCCTTTTGCTTGATGCATATGAGACTTCCTATTGCCAAAGACAACCGGTCTTGTACGAGCGTTTTGGTTGACACACTCGGATGTCTCAGGAGCATTTTTTAGTTGGAGATTCCTTACATGGTTGTGTCGTAGTACAAGTTTTGGTTGTGACGTGCCATCATCTATGCCGTGGCTGATCATGACTGTTCGACTCTTGAAATTTGAATCCGCCAAAACAATCAAAACTAAACAAATCCAAAAAACATCAAAAAACAAGGACTTCCTTATGAGATCTTATGAGACTCCAAAGCGGTAAGCGTGTGGTCCACATTTCAACCAAGGTGAGCAGCAACGATCACCTTCGAGAGCAGCTGCATGAACAGCAAATGCGCTCTCAGGAGAGAACTTGAAGAGGGGGATACTTCAGGCAAACACGTGATACCTATATAAGATAGTACTAATATAACACATGATAACATACTGCAAACATCATGCCTGCAACAAATGGTTCCTAGATGAGGGTTACTGAGTTGAGAGTCATGCTGTGCACGCTGTTAAATCGAAAGACGGATGTAAGATGATGTAAGTGTCATGTGCATTTTGGCAAAGCATCATCCAAAGTCTCGCAATTGTATCCACTATCCACATCAAGGTTCTTGGTGTCGTTTGATAGCAGTTCATTCATTTTGAATGGCCAGCCGTGGACAAGACCCGGTGTGACAATTCATTGGTTGTTTTTTGCGTGTCCTCGAAGTGTGTGCAGGACAAGAGCAAAGATTCCTTAGAATGTCTGGATCTCTGTGTTTGTCTTGGATAGCCAGCCAAGAACCGGGGGCCTTTGGCCTAATTAGATTATTGACTTGAAATGGCTTGAAATTTCACAAACAGGCACCTTGGCTTTATTAAATCTATTTAAATATTATAAGATATTATAAGTATTTAAATCTATATTATTTCAATGAACATTCAAAAATATTCAAAGATACTTCCGGAAATCCACCAGGCCAAGCGCCCTTCACTGAGCGCTTGTCGGAGAGTCAGCGAATGGCGGAGGCGCCAAGGGCAATTCTTGGTGTAGCAGCGTGCAGTGCGTGCAGGAAGCAAAATGAAGATTCTGCGGCCGAAGTTTGATATGAATATTAAATGAACGAATGTTTGTCCTTCAAGAAGAATTTGATGGAAGCTGAGTTCCAGCAAAATGCTCATCTGAGTCAAGCCTCAGGCCTGCAACGATGATCAACAGGGTAGAAGGTAACATACATGCAAGACACCAACAACTCTCCTTAGTTTCCTATCCAATACAGACGCCTGAGGCCAACCTTTGTAGTTTCGGAATTCTCCTAGCTTGATCAATCTTGAGCAACATGGAGTATGAATTGAGAGGCCAAAGATTTGTTGACCATGACAATGCAAGTATGTGTAAGCCACCTATATAAGTCAATAAAAACATGTAAGCCGACACAGGTGCTTTGTTTCACATCACAAGTTTTGCAGCCACATTCATGGCGGGGTGACAGGCGGAGCTTGCCCTCACAGCAAAGCAGATTGAGGCACAGAACATGTCAGTTGCTGATCAAAGCAACTCCTCCTTTCAGTTGCAGCACGTTGCACCGGGTCGCAGTATCCTTTCGAGAAAAACTGTTCAGGCAATGGATGCAGAGCTTGAAGAGTGCGACCAGGAGCTGCATTTTGAGACCGATCAGCTGACGGTTCTGTTGCAAAATGGTGTGCAATATTCCACTGAAAGCGACTCAAAGTCTGGAGGTGCCAAACTGTCTCTTTGCTCTCCCTCGATGGATACCGTATTGCGATACAGTCGGTGTATGTGTAGATTGAGACATGTTGCTTCGCGGTACCCAAGCAATCCAAACCTTGTCAGCATTTGGTATCCTCCCTGCAAATCCGAAACTTGAGAGAAACAGAAGAAATAAATTACTTTACTTTGAGTGATCCCTACCGTGAAATTATTTTGTGATAGTCTCTGACATCTCATCTGGAAGTATGTATGACATATCCTTTCTGACATTCTGTTCTGGCATTCTATCTGACATTCTACTATTCAAGTTACTATTCTACCATTCTATTTGGCATCCTTTCTACTATACTGGCATTCTTTCTGATATTCTACTACCTGGCATATATGCTGACATTCTTTCTTGCATCTATTCTGACATTCTTTCTGGCATTCTATCTGGCATTCTATCTGACATTCATTCTGACATTCTTTCTGGCATTCTTTCTGGCATTCTATCTGGCATTTATTCTGGCATTTATTCTGGCATTCATTCTGACATTCTTTCTGGCATTCTATCTGGCATTCTATCTGGCATTTATTCTGACAGTCTCTCTGAGATCTGGCGCTTATGGTTGAGGTCCGGCAATGCCCACTGAGATCGGAGTGCCCACTGAGATCTGGAGCTCGCAGTTGAGGAAGGACGAGGAGGACGAGGAGAAGGAGAAGGAGGAGAAGGAGAAAGTCTGACAAAATCTCGAGACCCTCACCTGGCAGGTAGGGGAAAAAAAGGGAAAAAACACAACATGCATGGCTTCGTGCAGTACTGTAGCAGATGTATCAACAATTTAATATAATTTAGTGCATTATTTGCATGGTGATGCTGAATGAAGCGGCGCGGTGAAACTCATTAGGTGTGGTAGAGTGTGCGAGGAGTTGGTCCGATTGCTGAACGTGCAAGAGGCCAAGACAGCCCGTCATGCACTGATTGCGAAGTGAAGACTTTGTCAATGCACAGATCTTGGTGGAAGAAGTAAACATGTCTAAAGAATATTAAAGAATTGTAAAGACATGTGCAAAAACTCGTAAAACTTCTTGAGACTCTTTAAAATCAAACAGCTTTCCGGGAACAAAAATCCAAAGAGGATAGCCAGTTCCAGCGATTTCCGCTGTCCTGGACAGCGCCAGGCGAGCCTCGCAGAGCTGACGCGCTTGGATTCCGACGTGTCTCTTTGGAGGTGCCTGCAACGGAGACCCAACGGAGACCCATTCGACAAAACCTGACAGATCTGACAGTTATATATCTGATGTTTATTTGATGGTGAACATTGGTGAACATCTCCAGGTTGATACGTCTCAGCACTTCTCCATGCGAGATATTTGAGATGTTTCTTCCACCGGCAAGCAAGTCAAACAGTTTAAAGATTCATGTTCAGCACGGAAAGAACGTGATATTTCAGATGTGGTTGTAGTATCTCTGCAAAAAACCCAAGAACTGCAAGCAAGATGCACAATCCAACCATGTGTTCCACATACATGAGTCAACGAGTCGTTTTTAAGCGCACTTGTTTGAATCGCAGGTCCCAGTGCGACACGGAGAATTCCAACCGCGAGGTGCTTTTGAGCTACAAGAACTAAAACAAACTACTGCAATCTAAATTCCAAACAGTAATTTTTGTTTTCAATTTATAGTTTCAAATTGACACAGGCCAGACGGCCAGATATCAGGAAACAACATGACATGCCTAGTTTTCCAGCTGATGATTATCCAACACAAAAGGGAAACAAATCAAGGCGTGACCATGAGACCATTGGGATGGGAAGGCAAAAACTGCTTCTCGTGACATCTCGTGATTATTGTTTTAATTTTCCTCCCATAGGAAGAACATGGAAGCATTGAAATTCTTTCAAGTTCATTGATTCTCCTGATTGAAGGTATTGAAGAATGATGGTGTGGCCATGGGGATTTTGTTTGGGTGATGTGCCTTCTTGAACCCTGATGTGCCTGTCTTAAAGCATTGTGGCCATGCAGTGATGGGCCTGGGCATGAAGTGCCTTGGGGCGGTTGCTTGAAACAAGTCAAACTAATTGAATAGCTCACTAGAGTTGCAACATGTTGGCAACGTCGTGACATCCATTGAGTTTTGTCGGAGTAGGTTCTCGAAAATGAGATGAATGCGGCCAAACACCACTTCAATGGTGAGCACTTGATCTTGCAGGCCGAGAGTATCTGAGAACTTTCACTCAAATGTCATTGTATCATATTGTATCTCTCGCCATCATTATCATCATTGTGATATGTTCAAAATTGTTCAAATATGATCAAACGACGTATTCAATATATTCAATTCAGTGTGACTACTGTCTGTGCCAGACCAACTGCGATCTCTTGCTTGCGGACATCGAAGATCTAGAGCAAGAGATTCGGGAACTCACAGGTCAGATGGGATAACTTGTTAGCGAAAGAGTAGCCTTGCTGGGAAGCATACCTTGGACCAAATCAGATGAGGTACATGGAGCACATGAAGCCTGTGTGATTCATGCTGCAGCAGGGAATTAGGTTCCCCTCACGATTTTGAATACCGCTGAAGCATGAATTGCAACAAATTGCAACATATGAAATACCATACTTAAAGCATGAGGGAACTCGCGGCAATACAAATTGGGTCAGGGATGTTTGCGCATGTTTGCGCTGGAATGAGCTGCATTTAGCTGGGTGTCTCAGTGCTTGCGAATGATGCCAGATGATATGGTGCAAAAACGTCGCTTTCTTGTGAGCTTGGACCTCAAGCGATTGCCAGGGCGATGTAGGCTAAACAGCTGCGACTCAACAGAGTGAACTTTCAACGTGTCTAAGGATGTCTAAACTAAACTGTATAGCTTTGACATGCTTTGATGTTTGCAGGCCTTTGCTGAATTTCAGAGCATCGTGCAATCGAATAGCTTCCTTGACCAGATGTACTCGTATCCAGATTTCCCATGATTTGTCTTTCTTGTGCTACAAATGATATCAAATGATGGTTCTGGATGGTTCTGGTGTCTTGTGTATTGTTTGTGTCCTATGAGGTCGCGAGGGAGAGAGCAACACTCGTCAGGCCAAGTCAAATCCACAAGTGCTTCCGATCGTTCGGTGTCTTGACGACTATCGGTAGTCCTTTCCGCTTCACACCCTTGATCGATCTTGATCGTCTTGCTATTCAAACTATTTCAAACTATCCTCCTCTCTAGGAAAAACGCATCATAACGCATCTTTGAAATCAAGAAGTTGATGAACATGGCAATGGGGTATGCTAATATATGCTACTTGTAAAGGTTTAGCACATGGAAAACATATGAGAAGATATGAAAAAAATAGGAAACAATAGGTATAAGTTTAAAATAGTGTGATGTACACTAAGGATAAACGCTATAAACAATTCTCCAAGGATGAGGAGCCTGGATTCTATTTTTTTGATGTTGGCTGTGTACGGCCTTGTGTGTTCAAAACATTTTACAAGGGGGAGGGGCAAGGAGATAGGAGAAAAAATAAGTATGTAAAATATGTATTTGGTATACTTGGTACCCTGACAGATAGGAAGAAAATCTGAATTGTTCGACTCTACCAGTTCAAATTTGCGTCTCAGTATTGCAGTGTGGCCGCAGATCCTGTGGCTGTTTTACGTACTGTATCTTGCTGTACTGTGGTGTGGTGCCTGTTTGATGTTGATTTGCTAGATCAAACATTGTTGAATGATGTTGAATGGAAATCACATGAAATCAGCCATGTTGGAAGAATGGGAGGCTGCAGCTGAAGCGCATTTGAAGGAGTCACAGGACCTGCCACTGGGCAGAAGCAGAGCGGTCCTGCTATTCTTTCCAAATTTTCCGGGATTACAAACCCGTACCAAACGATCAACAAGTACAGAACGTGCCAGCAAACAATTAGAAGCAGCAGCAGCACCACCAACAAAAACAACATTGTGGTTGACGAGAATCACAACGACAAACAAATGACAAGCGGCGACAACGATAACGACACCCACTCACTACCGGTACTACCACTGCTACCACCACCACTACTAGCACCGCTACTAGCACTCCTAGCACTACTAGCACTACCAGCACTACCAGCACTACCACTGCTCCAACAACAGCAACTACAACATCAGCAGAAACAACAACACAAGCTGCCGCAGCCGCCGCCGCTGCTGCAGGTGATGCTCCTACTACTACTGCTGCTGCTGCTGCTGCTACTGCTACTGCTCCTGCTCCTGCTCCTGCTGTGACTGCTACTAATGAGATGTGGCAAAGTCCAGAAATTGTCAGTGTTCCCGGATTCTACATGAGGAATGACGAGGAAGAACATGAAAAGCATCAAGGTCCCCATATGTCCGCATCTCCCATGGTTGCTGTTCCATTCTGTTTCCCTCAGAGGACCTGTTGGCATCCTGTCAGAGCCGTTTGCGCGAAGCAGCAGACCAACGCGTCACGAGCTAAGCGCCACCATGTGCTATCCGACTTGGCGCAGAAAGTAAGGAGCCACCAATTTAGTGTGTTAAATAAGTTTTTTACAATTTATCACGAAAGCTAGCGGTAGCTAGCTGGAGTTACTCTTGCTTCAGCGGGGGGGGGGCAGGTCTGAGTCCAACAGATGATTTTTCACTCGAACCCCCTCCAAGCTCCCGGGGCATATGGGGCATTTGTAAGCGGTGTTGGAAGCAGATGGTCACGGGCTCAAATCCTGCCAAGTCTCTAAGCAACCTGTAATTATTCAGCATATCAAAATCCTAGCACGTTTCCAGGCTGGCTCACATGAACCTTAGATAACCTTAGCTTTCGTTCTTTTACAATGGGTGGAATCGCATTTCAAACACCTAAAGCAGAGGCCCGTGCTAAGTTAGAAGCAGAAGGCCAACGTCGAAAGTCCCTGGAGGTGCGGGAAATCATTGGGGGCAAACCTCACTCCAACTATGATAACTATGGCCAACTCTGGGAATGCGATCGAAACGGCACTCATTCTTGTTTATCTTGTTATATCTTGTTATTCAATAGGCAAATGTTATTCAGTTATTCAATGTTTTTTCAATGTTTTTCAATGTTTTAGGCAAAAATCAAACCTTTGGACATCTTTGGACCGTTGGATTCGCGAAAAGGATACCGCCGAGCAACATCGCACCGTGACCTGTACTGGTAGAATGAAGTTGAAGGTATATTCAAGCAAGCAGTTTGACATGCTGGCACTATCCAGCATTTCTGGATCACAGATTGGAGGCTGAAACTGTAGCAATGGTGTTTCCTTCCAATCATAATCAATCACAGAAATGTACTAATTAAATCTAATCATATAATCTAATTCTAGGAATTTCAAGTACACAAATTGTGTAGGAGATCTAGATAGACCAGGTTCACATTATTGTCCCTAACCTCCACCGGATGCAAACATCGGTGAACAATGGTGAAGATGCCAGGTCATGTCTGTGCTCGAGCGGAACTTGGAACACCAGGTGCTCGGGTCCTTCAATGCTACCTTGTATTTGTTTGTCGCCAAGACTTTGGTATGCCAATTTTCCAAGCACGACAACGCCGACATTTTAGCAAAAGCGGAACTTGCATTCCCTGAAGCCCAGAGTTGGCTCATTCCCATACATTGCCATACATGGCCTACGCGACAAGTCTGTAAATGTTCTACTCTTTGAGCCTTGATAGGGATACTCCGAGATAATACGTAGAGGAAGGTCTCTGCTGGTCGCTGCGCATGAAGGTGCAAGGGCTCTTCAGCATGTGGGAGCGTTACGATGCCGTGCTGGAGAACGAACGCAAGGTACACGAACAGGTGCGATTAAAGTTACGTTGCATGGTGTTAGACGGGAGAAATCGGAAAAAGCGGAAGGATGTGAAACCTGGGGCCCGGTGCTGTCTTCCCGGCCACTGTACTATGCCTCTTTTTTTGTGAAGCGTTGGATTTTTTCCAGGTCTTGTCTGCATATGTTCCATTTGGATCCAATTTGGCTCCAACAGGACGCCGACCAGCGGAAAAACTGCTTGGATCGCTTCAAATTCATCGTAGTGGCGTTCGGCCATGGCAGAAGACAAGACGCTAAAGGTTCGGACCAGCGGCATTCGTGTATTTCATGAGGAGAGTAGCAAGTATGGCATCATTTGGAACCTCAAGGGTTCGGACTTGGTGAAAGTGCTGTGGGACGACAAGGACGCCTGGGGCTGACTTTGTTGAGAGGATTGAATGTAATCCCTTCCCCCTATTACTGAACCGTCCCCCCAAATAATAAACACTTGGAGCAGTTTTTAGTATTAGGGGGTATTTAGATGTATTTAGATGTATTTAGTATTAGGGTGCGAAGCTTCCCCCTGATACTAAATAAAAAACCCTAATATAGAAACTATTTTTTCTATTTCATAGTCGATTAGATTTCCTTTCAACATCTAATTAAAATATTGCCAAAAATTGTATTTCGAAGTTTTCCCCTAATATTAAATAAAAAGTTGTTTTTTCTCCGACCTTAAAAGACGGACCCTAATAAAAACACCCCGGGGTTGACTAGCTTTATTATTACGGGGTGAAACTACCCTGAAATGGGACCTTCATTCTTAATTTGTTTTCGAAAGGGGATCAATTAAAATCAAATTGGCCAGTCTGAATTTTCCCACAATTTAACCCAGACCCTAGTTATTAGTATTTGGGGTACGTTTAGTAAAAGGAGGTGGAGATTAGTTGGTTTCAGAGCTTTCAGCAGAGCATTTTTTTCTGTTTGTACACGACTGGAACGCAGTCATGTTGGCGGATGCACACTTTTTTTTTGCCATCCGCCTTTTGTTGGAGATCTCGGGGCTAAAGCAATACGAGACCTATTACTTGTCTTGCTGAACCAAAAATGCAATTCTGAACGGCTTGTGATTGTTGAAGGTGCTCCAGACCGATGAGTGATTGCAAATGTTTGAACCCTGAGGATGGGGAACAATCAGGGGGGGAATACCGCGTCGGTACTGACGAGAACGGTGTTGAACACTATGACCTTCTTCTCCATGCTGTCCACAGCTACATCAAACTCTCTGGAGCAGGTGACGCTGGAGAAGATGAGGATGCCCAGGCTTTGAATGGGATTTATGTCATGAGCAACGACGGCTTCATCCCAGAGTACTATCAGATGAAAGGGCCTGGACGTATTTCATTCAACCCAGATGAAGGCATGTGGACCATTTGGAGCAGGGACTTTGGAAAAATCCAGTATTTCTATGAGATCTATGCTGAAGTGCTTGATGTACCGGTGGAAGGTTGGGAGTGCATCGCCCAGTGGGATCCCGAAATCAGTCCTCCCCCAACCATCACAAAGCACGAGTTGCAAGTGGGACAGGACGTCAAGCTACGCAAGCATCATCCAGACAACCACATTCCTGCTGAGAAGCTCACCTTGCAATTGTTGCCCTTGAGATATTTTTCATTGCTTTTCTCGGAACAAGTTGTTCCATTCCCAGAATGATCACTATAAGATCTACAAGAACCTATACTATATATATATATATGATTATATAAGATATTTTTCGTATAATTAGTATTCATATTATACATCTCATGTTCATTGCATGTCACTGCTATTTTTATAATTTATAAATGTTTATAATGTTTATAAACATTTGGAATGATGAGTCAAGGAAGTATCCTGGCCCTCCATGTGCCTTCAACAATGGAGACATTTGCACCATCGAGCGCATCCAGGGCCTTTTCTTCGCTCCGAAGATCTCCCCGGACCAGTGGATCCCGTTGCGTGCGGCCGTGCCCGCCTCGGAGATGGAGAAGCTGGAGGGAGAGGACGATGAAACGCCCACCCGCTTGGCCAAGGCGAAGGGCTCCGGCTCCAAGCCGAAAAAAGATGGCAAAGATGGAAAAGATGGAAAGGCTAAGAGTGCAGCAGGTGGTGGTGCCAACGCCATCAAGTTGATCAAAACTTTGGTGGAAAAGGTTGATAATTTGGAGACTGAGGTGAAGAAATTGCAAAAGTGAAGTTGCGCCCGTGCATGTCGTGCCAGAAAAGAACCTGTGTTTTTCTTTCCCGTTTCAAAGACAATCGGGCTGTGAAATTCATGAAAGCTCAAGGCTTCATGAAGATCTCTCCTTGTGACGGTCTCCTTTGGGAACGTTTTGACGCTCTGCGCACATGAACCAAAATGAAGAAAAGCTGATGCAGCTATGATTGAGGGGCATTCATTGATCATTTGCAAAGGACCAGGCATCACTTGATTTCACTTGATATCACTTGACCCTGTATTTATGTTTTCGCTTCGTGTTCTTTCAGTGGTCGTCATTTGTCGCCGATCGTTTCTGCAGGCCAAGCAAGAATGCGACTGGGAGACCGAGTTGGCTGCATCAGTCGCAAGGCCAAGCTCAACAGTAGGACTCAGTAGGATTTGTGCCAGAAGAAACTGTAGGAGACGACTGTGACACTATTATTTGTAACTAGACGACGGATGGCCCGAGAGCGTAGAGGAGCAGGGTCTTCTCTTGTTAGTGTGGAGACACAATATTACAAACAATATATTAAAGATGTGTTATAGGCAGTCGAGAAGAGGAGTATCAAGACAAAATAGCAGAAGTGCAAGACAATAGTTTGCATCGCAAACACTTTTACACACAGAAGCTTTTACACACAGACGCTTTTACACACGAAAGCTTTTACACACAGAAGCTTTTACACACAGAAGCTTTTACACACAAGAGCTTTCACACACAGAAGCTTTTACAGACAGACACTTTCACACACAGACCCTTTTACACAGACGCTTGTACACACAAAAGCTTTTACGCACAGAAGCTTTTACACACAGACGCTTTTACACAGACGCTTTTACACACAAAGCTTTTACCCACAGAAGCTTTTACGTACAGAAACTTTTACACACAGACGCTTTTACACAGACGCTTTTACACACAGACACTTTTACACACAGACACTTTTAACAAAGACCCTTTTACACACAGGAGCTTTTACGCACAGAAGCGTTTACACGCAGACGCTTTTACACACAAAAACTTTTACACACAGAAGCTTTTACGCATAGAAGCTTTTACACACAAACGCTTTTACACACAAGCGCTTTTACGCACAATCACTTTTACATACAGACGCTTTTACACACAGAAGCTTTTACACACAAACCATTTTACACAGATGCACTTTTACACACAAACACTTTTACACACAAACATCTTGACACAGAAACACTTTTACACACAAACCCGTTTACACACAGAAGCTTTTACACTCAGACACTTTTACACACACACACACACCCTTTTGCACACAAACACTTTTACACACAGAACCCTCTTACACACAATCAGTGAAACTTTTACACACAAACCCTTTTACACACAGACACTTTGACGCACAGAAGCTGCGACACACGGACCTCATTTACACACAGACCCTCTTACACACAAACGCTTACACTCTTACACTCACACCCTTTTACATCCAACACCAGTTAAATCGCCATTTTACCTCAGTTTTTGCGCATCGAGCATCATTTCGTGCGAAAGGGTTGCTCCGGCACAAGTAAAATCGCAATTTTTCCTCAGTTTTTGACGATCGACCCTCATTTCGTGCGAAAGGGTTCACGTTTCGTGACTCCCCGCCGGCACCACCCTCGGCCTAAAGAGAGAAAGATAAAGAATGCGAGAGAGAGAGAAGGGAGAGAGAAAGGAGAGAGAGAAAGGAGAGAGGAAAGAGGAGAGAGAATGAGAAAGAGAGAAGATGTAAGCATGTGAAGATGTGAAGATGAGAAGATGTGAAGAGGAGCAGATGTGAAGATGAGCAGATGTGAAGATGTGAATAGGAGCAGATGTGAAGATGAGCAGATGTGAAGATGAGCAGAGCAGATGTGAAGATGAGCAGATGTGAAGATGAGCAGATGTGAAGATGAGAAGATGTGAGAGAAGGTGTGAAGATGAGAAGGTGTGAAGATGAGAAGGTGTGAGATGAGCAGATGTGAAGATGAGAAGATGTGAAGAGGAGCAGATGTGAAGATGTGAAGATGTGAAGAGGAGCAGATGTGAAGATGTGAAGATGTGAGAGAAGGTGTGAAGATGAGAAGGTGTGAGAGAAGGTGTGAAGATGAGAAGATGAGATACAGACCCCCACTATTGGAAGAACCCTGCGCTCAGACGCTCTCGGGAACAAATATATACAAATGTTGGTGAAGCACATGCTACAGTATAGACATGTTTTGCGAGGAGACTGACTTGGTGGCTTTGTTTTGTAGCTCTTGTTGTCAGCATACTGCAGTTGCTCTCATGAGCACTAAAAGTAGACTCCGCATGACTCTGCTGACAAAAAGATGTGGCCGTTGTGACCATATCTTACACATGCATCAGTAAAGCACGTGAAATTGCACGGGCCTGATGAGGACTTGCATCATAGTTCAATGTCACTGGAAGCGGTAAAAAAATGCACAGAGTGCATAGAGTCGAACTATGTAAAGCTTGCAATGGTGCTGAGCTGACATGCCATGCGGAGTGACTCTTGTTCTTATTGGCCTTGAAAAGGGTCGAGATGTTTTTGTGAAGAGCAATCAGTTGCAAATGTAGGGCATTGCAGATCCTGCAACCTTTCGTGGTCACTTTCAAGGGCACATATCCGAAACTGCTCGAGAGGCAAGCACGAAGTGAAAGCCGCAACCGTGTTGAAGGCCAGTTTCATGGGGCCAGTTTCATTGGGGTTTGTACATTTCAATACATTTCATATTTCAAGCCATGCTTGGGCAACTGAACTTGGCTGCGCTTTGTTTCTTTAGATGTTGCCTGGCAGCTGATGAAGTGATCCTGTTGATCTTTTTGGATTTTTTTTAGGTAAATCAGTGAAATAAAGCACCCAGGACAGCTGAGTTTTGTGTTGACATAAATGTTCGCCTTGCTCTGCGTTTTGGTTCATTGAGACAGACATTGACATGTATTGCCTGTCCCCAAAGAGAGGCCAACTTAGACATTCAGCCAGGAATGGAAAGAGAGCGTCTCAGGATCGAGGACACTGGGACACCGTCGGGACACCGTCTATCAAAGCTGTTTGCCTTGGGACTTTGATACTCGTACGATGATGCCAACTGTTTCACGCAAGCAGCGGGCACTTGCGCGCGGATATTATATTAGATATCATAAGCCAATAATTATAGACCATAGGTGACCCAACATTGATCAAAATTGACTTCTCATGATTTGTAATTGTACATCATTGGATATAGTCTATATAATTAGTGTATCATATTGTATCATCATCACGCTGAAGTCAGACGAAGTCAGCTTGAATTTGGCCACTTGGCAGAGGAGAGCCGACGTGGTGAAGTTGCTCAAGGCTTGGAGGCAGTCCGACATAGTCCGACAACCCATGGTCTCCCAATGTCTTCCATGGCCCCACAATGACAATGACAAAAGTGGAACTGGTGGATCGGTGGAACCTGTTTGGCTTTGAAATGCTTCGATGCCGTTGTGTTCCCGTCCTGCTAGAGCATGCTAGAGCTACACCTGCGGGGCTATGCAGGGCTTACAGGCTACGCATTTTGTCAAAGCAATATGCTGCTTCACTATTTCTTTGGGATGCTTAGAGTAGTTCAAATTTGTGGTTGCCTGAGTGCATTGCCTTCCAATGCCTTCCACGCCTTCCGTGATCTTCAATTAGTTGAGACCTTTCAATGTGCTGAATGTACAGTTGTTGCAAAATCAGTTACGAAGTTCAATTTCTTTTGACATGCAGCGCAGATCCTAGTGAAATGAATTTCACGGAGCATTGCGCAGCCATATTGGCGCCAGTGGCTGGTTGCACAGCAAAATACATGATGGCTTTAAAATTACAAGCATTGCCAGCAATTGTTTTGCAAAGTAACTGATATAGCCAACATGGGACACCAAAAACGGCGGAGCGACAATCCTTGCCTTCTGCCAGGGTGACATTTGTGTAGTTGTTGACAGTTTGGACGTGGCATGAGCATCCAAAATCGACAGAGGCTACTTACTAATTAGTCATTTTGATTCAGAGACCATGCATTGTGGTTTGGGGACAAAGATGCGCTGCACAGCTTCTTTGGAGCAAACTGCAAAACCGTGCAACCCAGCACCGTTTAACGTGATTTTAGAATGCCATCATACCCGTTTGAATCGCAAAAGCAACAAGATCAACAAGATATCAAACCGAATTCCCGTGTGCTGCAATCCTCAGAGGCCCATGCCGCATCCTGGCTTCAATAACGGGCCAGATGACATCATTACACCTTGCACCCACACACTTCAATACAATTCAATATAATTCAATGCAATTCAATGCAACAATCAGGTGATAATTGAATATAATATGTGTAGAAATCCTTTCTTGTGACTGCTGACAGGAATGTAAGGAAATCGTAGGCATGAAGAGCTGGTCTCGCAGGAGACATGACCCAATACCCTGCCAGTCCAAATTCCACAATCCAACAATCCCAAGAGATCAGCAAAAAGAAACATGTTAATTCATTGTTAATTCTGGAACGTTTTTACCTTTTTGGCCGAGGTATCCATTTTTGGTTTGGGCTGCGGCCCTCTTCTTGGTCCCAGCCCTGGGGATGGCTATGGGCGTCGTTTGGATTGCCACATTTGTGGGCTTTGCCTTCGCAGCCTGCATGATCCTGCTTGAAACGGTGAAGGCGCACAGAGCACGTGGGGAGATGTGGGGAGTGGACATGGGACGTTCAAATTTGTGCGAAAACATTCACAACGGGGTAGGGGACCACCCACTTTGGCCATGTCCATTGCGGGTAGTAAGTAATTTTGTCCGCCACTGTCCGCCACTCATATCTGTCATATCTCTACCATGCGGTTGAAGCTAAATTTGGATGCTGAGAATTCCAGGAAAAAATCGGCCACATGAATGCATCTAAGACTGTCAAATGTATGCTTCTTTAGGCATGCAAAGGGAACACATGGATTTTCAAAGTATGCATCAACAATATCATCATACATTCTTATCACTGCAGAGTAACCACAGCTGTCAGCTGCCCTCAGTTCAAACCAGCAACATTTGCTTCGAACTGGAGGTGTTGGCTCGCATGACTCCGGGCATCCGCGACTTTGTGCCAGATGATGTGTCCCCCCAGGAGTGGTGGCAAAGTGGTCCTGATATATCATGATAAGCCTATCAATTTTTAGCATCATGGCTATACTGCATCAAAATGCATCAAACTTTTTTTTCCCCGCGACCCGAGGATTGACTTTCGAAGCTAAAGGCTTCAAAGAAAGCGCTGTAGTTTTCTTCCAGTTTTGATGTTTGTTCGAAGCACACCCAACGGTAAGGCATCTCTTTGATTCCGTCGCAGTATCGTTGTCGTTGAGAGCCTTGTGAGAGCGTGTAGGAAGTGGCGGCCAAGCGGTTGGAAGCAGAAGAACACGCATCCAGGCCAAGCAAATCCAAGCAGTCGAGAAGATCTTGGAACGATCCAGCGTTACTTTAGTGACTTTAGTGACTGGCAACATTGAGCATTTAGCAACTTGATTGCTTAGGATTGCTTAGGATTGCTTAGGATTGCTTAGGATTGCTTAGGATTGCTTAGGAGCATCTCAGATTCTTTGGCACTGACGAGATTTATGGGAAAGACTTGGACCTGGGACCTAGGAACTGTGCAGTTTTCACTGAATACTGGATGCGCTGGGCTGGGTGTTTGTTCTTTCTTTCAGCTCCCATTTAATTTGGAGCAAGTCCGAATGACGCGCTTCGTTTGCTGTACCGTTGTGAAATTGCGTTTGCTTCTGCGTTCAACCATGTTATACATTGTTATACTATGTCTGTTGTTCAACGATGTTCAACGCAAATTGTGCAATGATCAGGGTCGCTGCCGAGATTGAAGCTGAGATTGAGGCCTCGGGAGTGTACCATTCCATAGAACAGCATAGAAAAGCTACACAATCTCACATATCTATACATATCTCACATCTCTTCTCTGCTCCCTATGGAGATGAGGTGGTACTGGATGCTCTTACCAAAGGAAAAGGGCTGAATACACCATGATACATCAATGATACATCAATGATACATCAATGATACATCAATGATACATCAATGATACATCAATGATACATCAATGATACATGAATGATACATCTAGTTTCAGTATATTTCAGATTATTTCATATTATTTCAATGTGTCAACGCTTCAGCTGATAGTTGCTGAATACAGTATGTGACACGATTGTTACACTCTCAAATGCATCACGGCGCAGCTCAGGAGGTGGCAACGGCATTGGCTCCCAGTTGTCCACAAGAAGCCCAAGCTTTGCTGGTCGAGGCTCCGATGGCGAAGACTTTAGATGTGAAAAGAAGATTGAAAAAAGATGAAAAGAGAATTGATGATAATTGATGTTTATTTAGATTTGGAATGATTTGGAAGAATGTGGCAGATTGCTCAAGTTGAGTCATGATCCGATATCATATCTGATAATATCTGATATATTTGTGGTATTCTATGGTAATGTGGTATCCTGCTTCAAGTTCTTTTCCAAACATGAATTGTCAAACCATATTTCAAACCACAATTTTCTGGCGTACCAGTAGATCCAGTAGGTATAGATTGGAAATTAATGTGCCATCATTTCAAGTTAAGGAATCAGCTAAAGCTGCTGGTTTCCAAGCTCCAGACTATGTGTTTATACGTTTACATCGCCCCATAAGTTCAATACATTCTTGTCAACATTTGAGACTAATTATAGCCTTGCAATATAGTTCAGTAAAGTCAGTTGCAGTGAGAATTACAGTAGATTGAAAATATGAAGTGAAGAAAGAAATAAGGAAGGACAAGCGATCACAAGCGATCGGAAACCAGACAAGATGTTCATTGAGCTCCATCAGATACCAGTGATTAAGGAACCACACGGAATCACAAACAGTTTGAGAGTGCTCGAACGCCTTAGTCTGGACCGCATGAGCTGAGGGAGATAGACAGGCAAGTCTTGGTCTTGTGTAGCAGGTCAAACGATGTCACACGATGTCACACGTATTTGATCATTTTGATCATGAAAGTTAGCTTTTCTCAGCTGAAGTCCCTCATGCTGTAGGAAGGTACTGGCAGGGGCTGGAATCACCAGTCACGTTCCGCGGCTGGAGTGATGTCTGTTGAGATATTATCATCTCGTCAGTAATTAGCAGTGCTGTCGTGACCATGATACAACAATCATAATCATTTTCCTCCTCCTCCTCATCATCATCATCAGTGTCAACATAGTTTTCAATTTGACTCAGCATATTCATGAGCACACAACGTTGCTTTCAAAATTGAACAAGAGAAATGTGTGTCATGCAGCGATTTGTCTTACGAAACACCACCTCGATGTGGGAGGTTTTACCACTTGGCCTCAAGTAGATTCATGCTTCTGCATACAGCACCTACCGATATATTTCTGACTGGGCCAAACCGGTCCAGTTGTGCTGTCACAAGTCTCGTGGAACCTAGCCTTTATTGTCCCAAACCATACGGATATGTCTGTGTTATATGAGCAAGCGCCTTTATTTCTTCAGAGGTGCAATGTTCTTGCTTTAACCCCTTTATTTTATTTTATTTTTGCTCTAACCCCAGAATTCGGTTCAAAGCGAGCTGGTTCCGCCTGAAAACGATACGCGGAGGAGGGAAACAAAAACACAAGGGAGCGTTGGAAAACGAGCTAATTGATCAAAACAAGGGTCAGGGAATGGAAAACGAGGTAGGATCCGTCTGACCTTCGCAATGATTAAAATAACTTCCGCAGCTTATATAAACAAAAGTGTGTACTTTACATACATCATTATATGATCCTTGCAAAGGGGTTTAACTCATGTGAAAGGGTATTTGCCCGCCAATTCCTCAATGTCCTGCGATGATCAGCTTCTTGCACTCTTGGTATGGTCCTTAGAGTCTAGACAGTCACTCGACGGTACATTCTCGGCGGCAATTCCCCAATGTCCTGCGATGATCAGCTTCTTGCACTCTTGGTATGGTCCTTAGAGTCTAGACAGTCACTCGACGGTACATTTTCGGCGGCAATTCCCCAATGTCCTGCGATGATCAGTTTCTTGCACTCTTGGTATGGTCCTTAGAGTCTAGACAGTCACTCGACGGTACATTTTTGCACTCAAGCTCCTTTTTTCTCTTCCGCGGTGTTTCATGGGGATCCGTGTGGCATTTGTAGCTGGTTGGTTGTGGAGTCACTTTTTGAACTGGAGCCGGGGACCCGGCAGCCTTCCTGAAGAGACCCTTGGCTTGAGAGAAGAGATCAGGGCGGCTAGACTTGCTCTGAGTGATTTCCAAGAAGTTCAGAGGTCCTTGGAGTGGAAGATCTGGGCACAAGGTTGGGTCATTCGTTTCAACCTAGGGTTCCACGTTTTTTGCTTGATCTGGTTCTGTTGGGTGACTTTTGCCCGTCCTAAGACACAATTGCCTCCACTACAGATTTCCGATCTTGGTGGTTCCTCGTCTGAGACGGACGAGTCCGCCAAACAAGTTGTGGTAAGACCAGCAGGTCGCGGCAAATTTCTTAGCAACCGAGTGAATTCAGGGAGGGGTCGGCCGACAAGGCCATCTGATCTGAAGTGAAATGGATTACACTTTAGACATCCCAGAAATCCAGGTGCTTGTCAATTTCCCAGGAGACCGTGATGGTTTTTATTGGCATCATAGGATTCTGCTCCATCGGATTGATGGGGCAGTTTGGTTGACATTGACGCCAGACCATGACATTGAAAAGTTGGATCTGAATGTTGTCCCTCACCGAGTACTCCAACGAAAGGCAGCCTTTCCCGAAGACATTCTGGATGAGATTTACGCCCACGACGCTATCGCCAGGCCTGCTCTCTTGGGCTTCAAGAAGACAGCACATGTGCAAGCTTCGATTCTGGGCCTGGGCGACCCCCAGGAAGCTGAGTCGCATCATTGGCTCATTGCAGAATCAAGCCATGTTGGTTTTGGAAACCCTGTAGATGATGAGGTCCTGGAAGACGAGGCCACTGGAATGATGTTCAGTGAAAAGGGTGTTGTGATTCTTCAAGGTGAGGAAGTCTTCGTGGAGAAGGTCATGACCAAAGACATTGAAAAGTGGAGGAAGACGAAAGGTTTGGAGACTGGTGATCAGAGACTCCTGGGTGACCATCGTGATCCTTCCGGAAAGAAGGCACTTGTCCTTTCAGAAGCTGTTGGGCTTATGAAAGGCGGGGAGGAAGAAGAACCCGATTTTCCAATTGTTGGGACTCGAGCTGCGAAAGAACTCCATGAGGCAGTGAGTGGCGGAGCAGGTGGTTTTCTGGCTTACCATGAACAATGGATCCGACTGTCTGGTGTTGGCAAAAGATCATCTGCAGCACACATCCATCGATGCTTGTGTGAAGGCTTGCGATTGATGCACACTTTCGACCAGATCGATGCTAGCACGACTGCCATTGGAGAACATCTGTCAAGGTGGATGGTCCAGACCGAGCTGGCAGTGGAGCGCAACCCGGCTCAGCCGGATTACTCTGGCCTCGACATTGTGGCTGGCACCTCCTTGTTGGCGGATGGTCGTGCGGCGACCAACAAGTTCCAAGAGTGGGTTGCAGGGAAGCTCAAAGAACGGTCCTCCGTGTGGAAGCAAGAAAGACTGTTCGCCGAGGAACGAAGGAAGCAGAAGGGCAAAGGCAAAGGTGGCCGGGAGGAGGATTCTGATGAGGACAGCGATCCGCGGCGGAGGAAGAAGAAGAAGGGCAAGAACCGTGGTCAGCCGGGGGGTGATGGCCCCTCGGCCTCGGCACCATGATGACTTTTGACATGGTGGGGAAGGACAGACCATCGCCCCCCTCCTATTTTTCTGCACGAGGATGGTCAGAATTCAAATGCCGTAAACCATCTGACAAGCGGAGACACGGAGATCCTTTTCCATTACCCCGTCTTGGAGATCAGGTGAAGGCAGACCCGCCTACACGGCGATTGGACTCGGCCATGTCGGCCTTGAACTACCTCGCCATGGCTGCTTTTGACAAGACCCGTTCCTCTGAGGATATCCCGCTGACCTCTGTACAGCTTGGTATCATGGATGACCTTTGGAGGCGAGTTCTGGCCTACGGAGGCAGACCTGACGGTCTGGATGATGACAAGGCACTCAAAGAACTCGGATGCAACGCCAACCTGTATATGCAGGAGGCCAAGAATGTTGTGGATTTGGATGCAAGTCAGATCAAGATCCTTTCCCGACAGCTGCAGCCCATCTCAGCAAGGGACTTGGCGCCCCCTGCTGTTCAGGCTTTTCTGGATCGCTTTGGCGAATTGGTCGAACGACCGACTCACGAGATGGAGCAACTTCGAATGCAAGATGACCTAGTGGAACCTCACTGGGACCCGGGTTTGAAACGCAGTCGGAGCGCTAGGTTTCAGCTATATGACAAGCTCTTCCATGCTGGGCTCCTCACAGTGAGGAAACGTCAGAAAGCGAGGATGGGGCTTTTTGCGGTTGGGAAGAAGGGCAACAAACCTGGAAACACCCAGAGGCTCATCGTGGATTGTAGGCAAGCCAATGCCTTGCTCAAACGACCTCCGGCCACCAGGTTGGCGACTCCAGCCAGTTTGGCTTCCCTGGACTTCTCTCCTGAGGCGCTGACCGAGAATGGCTTTGAAGTTGAAGATTCTGGTTCCTTTTCTTGGGGTGCTGACACCGGCGATGTTGGAGATTGTTTTTACAACTTTGCAGTGCCAAAAGCTTGTAGCTGGTTTTCAACTGGCGACGTCACTTCTGGAAGGGAACTGGGGTTGCGAGGCCATGTTTTCCGTACTTTTTTTGATGAGGACTCAGAGACGGATCAGCCACTTGATCCCGATGAACCTGTTTACATTTGTTGGGATGGAGTTGGGCACTTTGGCTCAGCCAAGAGATCGTGAGCTTTCAGTGTCTGAAAGCCTGCGGTTATTCAGATGACAGCTTGGTGCGGGATAAAAACCCTCCACCACCGGTGATGCCAGGGCAACCTCCATTAGGGATTTACGTTGACAATGTGCATGCGTTTGCTGGGAAATCTGGTGATGCCTCTTCAAAGATTGAAGCAGTAAAACTTCATTTCGAAAGACTGGGTATCCCTTTTGAGGTGGACGCAGTAGATGGTCAGCAGCAAGTTGAATCCCTTGGTTTATGTTTTTCCTTCACTGACCGAGTGCGAGTGCGTGCCAAGAAAGACAGAGCTTGGAGGCTGTGGGCGGCAACCAGGGCACTTCTGAAGCGGAAGCGCATCAGTGGCGAAACTTTGAGACTTTGGCTGGGACATGTGAATTTCCATTTTCTTTTGGCCAGGCCCTTGCTGTCAGTTTTGTCTGCATGTTACAAGTTTGCGGCAACACACCTTGGTCACCGCTATCCCATGTGGAATTCGGTTCGAGCTGAGATGAAGGCTGTTTTGGGGCTGATTTTCATTGTGGAAGCTGACCTTAGCCGACCTGTTTGCTGTGAAGTACATGTAGGTGACTCCTCTGACAGAGGCTTCAGTCTGATGAGTTGTCATTCTGGTAGTCGCGACGTCAGGGCCGAAATGCGTTTTTCTGAAAAGTGGAGATTCATCGAGAGTGACGAGCCTGGCTTTTTTGGGTGCAACTCAGGGTGCCCGGATGTGCAGGATCATGACAGACATGACAGTTGCTTCAGAGGCACAGCAGCCAATGCAGGTTGCGGCCACCGCACAAAGTTTGGTTTGGAGGTTGAGGCGAAGCTCAGAGACACAGATACCCAAAGACTTTTGAAGCGAAAGAAGAAAACTCTTTTTGGGAAGCTCGAGCAGCGGGAAAGGTCAATGATTGAAGCTAGACGTATTCCCCCAATCTCTGAAAAGTGGAGAAATGTTCAACAATGGGATTTGGTTGTAGCTAAGGCTTGGCAAAACCCTCTAGAACACATAAACGTGAAGGAGGCCAGAGTGGCGTTGATGGCTATTCGGAGATTGTGTAGGACGAGGCGAAATTTAGGTAACTCTTGCTTGGTCCTTTCTGACTCAATGGTGACCATCATGGCCCTGTCGAAGGGGAGGAGTAGCTCGAGACCTTTGAACACTATTTGCAGGAGGGCAGCAGCTTATATTGTAGGAGCAAATTTGGGTATACATTTAAGACACATTGTTTCCGCCGACAATCCAGCAGATGGTCCGTCAAGGTGGTTTGGGGACGATTTTATTAAGAAGGGAGGTATAGTAGGGAACTCATTGTCCATGGGCGTGCATCATGACGTCGTCTCTTTTGAGCATGGGAAGGAGGTACCTATTCGGCATTCCCCTCTTTATCACAACCTTCATCATCAAGGGCCAGTTGGGTTTTTGGAGCTGTTTGCAGGCACAGGGAACCTTACACATACATTGAAACGACGTGGTCTTCGTGTTCTTCCCCATTTTGAATTCTCAAATGACAAGATCTATGACCTCCTCAACCCCAAAGTTCAAAATTTCGTTTTGGGATTGATTGCTTCGGGCGTAGTTTGGTGGGTACATCTTGGTTCTCCTTGTACGGCGTGGAGTAGAGCAAGACACAATATCAAGAACATCAAAGAAGCACGGCGTAAAGAATTGGAAGCGGTTGCGACGGCGCTTTTCTCGGTTCGAGTCATCCTTGAATGCTTAAAAAAGGGAGTTGTTTTCACACTGGAAAATCCATTATCGAGCAGACTCTGGGATTTTTTACCATTGCAGCAGTTGGCGACTGACAAGAGGGTTGGCTTTGTAGTTTTTGATATGTGTCAGTTCCAAGAACCTTACAAAAAACCCACCAAGATCATGACCAATGAGAACCGTTTCAACAGTCTCGCAAAGATATGCAGGGGAGGCCACAAACACAATCAACTCAAGGGCACCATTCGTGTCAAAATCGACGGGCAATGGCGCTACAAAAACAGAACTGCTCTGGCGGGAGCTTATGGTTCAGCTTTTTGTGAAGAATGGGCAGGAGCAGCAGAGTTGATAGCTCCTCCGAGTGCTTTTGGTGTGCTGTCTTGGAAACAGAGATATGAGTTCATCGAAGCTCTCTCAGAGGCGGCCAATAGTGTTGACGCCGCAGCTAGAGAGGCTACCTCTGTCGACTCTGCAGAAGATGGGGCGCGGGGTCCCTTCAAGGCCTGCAGCCCCCTCCAAGAGGCAAAAACCTTCTGGCGCAACAATCCTGTCGTCTTTGGCCAATATAAGAAAGAGCAGATCGAAGCGGAACTTCGCAAACTCCGCAAAGCCAAGCGTTGTCAAAAAGAAACCAAAAACAGACAGAAGCCGAAAGACAGTGAGGGTCGGTTTGGATGGCCGTCCGTTGCCCCCCAGCCTTCAGCTCCGGGCCCTGAGAGTTGGGCAACCTACTCTGACAAGATACCTACGGAGTATTAGGCTGTTTAAAGAATGGGCTAGCCGGCACAGAAAGCCAACTGGGGAGACAATTTTGGATCGAACAGTGAACCAATACCTGGCCCATTTGCACGCAGATGAAGCAGAGCTACCTGAAGCCACCTATTTGGTTTATGGGTTGCAATTGCTAGAATGCCATGTTCCGAAAGACCAATTCTTGGTGATTTCTAAGGCAAGCCTCGCCGGCTGGAGAAAGACTTCACCTGGCAAAATGCGGATGCCAGTGCCTGAGGAATTTCTTTTTGATGCTGGCGTCTTGGCCCTGGATGAGGACAGGCTCGACATTGCAGTAGCCATAACTTTACAGCTGGATGCATATCTACGACCATCTGAATGCCTAGATTTGAGCACTGACCAGATAGCGGCTCCTCAAGGCCGCAAATATCCACACTGGGCACTTGTGATAGCTCCTTCTGAACATGGACAGGTGACCAAAACGGGCAAGTCTGATGATTCTGTTTTGATAGGAGATGGCAAGCACAATCAGTGGGTCAGAAGTGTTTTACACCTGTGGCTGCAAGGCGTTTCAGATGGTCCTATTTTTCCTGGCCTGACTCTTTCACAATATGAGAAATGGTTTCGGGATGCCAACAAGAAATTGCTCTACTCTAACGACGTGCTGAAACCGCATGTGATCCGACATAGTGGTCCTAGCAATGACTGCTATCATGGTAGAAGGCGCCTGGATGAGATTCAGAAGCGTGGCAGATGGGACGCAAGAGCTAGTGTGGTCCGGTATGAGAAACATGCCACACTATTACACCAATGGAAACACTGCGCCCCAAAACGAAAACAAATTGTTTTGGGTCGAGCTCAGCTTTTCCAGACCAGGGTCCTTGCAAAGCTGCGCAATGAACGGTAAATGCCAGAGCATGAATGGGAAATGAGACAAGCTTGTATCTGACGAGATCTCTTCGATTGGATGCATTCTTTTTATCAATTCCTCCATTTTACCATGACGTTTGAAGACGACATGACGGTGGCAACATTCGGCACGTGTGACTTTCTGCAAAGTGGTCTAAAAAGAAAGTCAAATGCTTGCTGGGCAAAGGTGACTTGAAGTGCTGAGTTGTGATCCTTGCAAAGGGGTTTAACTCATGTGAAAGGGTATTTGCCCGCCAATTCCTCAATGTCCTGCGATGATCAGCTTCTTGCACTCTTGGTATGGTCCTTAGAGTCTAGACAGTCACTCGACGGTACATTCTCGGCGGCAATTCCCCAATGTCCTGCGATGATCAGCTTCTTGCACTCTTGGTATGGTCCTTAGAGTCTAGACAGTCACTCGACGGTACATTTTCGGCGGCAATTCCCCAATGTCCTGCGATGATCAGTTTCTTGCACTCTTGGTATGGTCCTTAGAGTCTAGACAGTCACTCGACGGTACATTTTTGCACTCAAGCTCCTTTTTTCTCTTCCCCGTGGCCATCCAAACCTCCTTCGAGACAAGCTTGTATCTGACGAGATCTCTTCGATTGGATGCATTCTTTTTATCAATTCCTCCATTTTACCATGACGTTTGAAGACGACATGACGGTGGCAACATTCGGCACGTGTGACTTTCTGCAAAGTGGTCTAAAAAGAAAGTCAAATGCTTGCTGGGCAAAGGTGACTTGAAGTGCTGAGTTGTATATATATATATGTATATATATAATATTATATATATATATATATATGTACACGTGTGGAGTTATGATGATGCACAGACGCAAGTCCTACATGGGAAGATGGGAATGGGCACAGAGGAGATGAAGATAAATAGATTTAGAATGATTTAGATGTAAAGATACATTTGTGAGGGGCTATGTATTTGTGTATTTATTAAAAAATTAGCATGTCTATTATATAGTTGTAGCGATAAAGAAATGAAGAATTGAGATAATTGAGATGCAGAAAATGTGATTTAAAGACTTAGTGAATAGCCATTCACCAATTGGTGCATGGATTGGATGATGGATTGGACTCATTGGACTGCTGCTAGATTAGATACAGATAGGTAGGTCGATAGATGTAGAATGATGTAGATAGTTAGAAGTGAAACATAGCGAAACCTGAATTATTTTGACATGTTTGACTCTGTTTGTTGGCAGTTCCCTCTTTTACAGGCGCAAGAAGCTTTGAAAGTAGCTGAGGGCAACGTGGCGCTTGCTGAGGCTCACCTTGGCATACATGACATTGATACACAAATTTGATTGTGGAATACACTATTCAAATCTATTCAACATACTGTAACATACTCAACAACAAGCATTTGCGGTTGACATAATTTAATTCAACTTGACTGGCGTTTGGTGATGAACTTCAAAACAATCCCAGCCACCCGTGAAGTCATCGAATCTCCGATTGAGGCTCGTGTGAGTGTTGATCAACATTATATAATATGTTATCACGTGTTGTCATATATTATCTATACAATACGTACTTTGCTTCACATGTTTCCAGTTCACAAAATGAAGGGACTTCAGCACTTGCGCTATCCTGTTCTCCAAGCTCCACTGTACCTGCCATTTCTTGTGGTTAACAAACATGACATTGCTTCAACACTTTCCCTCTGTTTCCGGAAAATGTACCCTGTTCAAAGCCAAAAGTGATGAAGGAGTCTGCAAAAGAACAGAGTGGTGGGTGGATGGCAGTTTGTGACTCGCCGGTTTGGATTCATTGTGGAAGCTGTTTCGGCAGTTGATATTACTAGGCGTCAGAAGACTTCAACTTGCAAGAGTTGAAACGACTATAGGTCATGGTTTGCACTGACTGACTGATTGCATGCAAAACTATGCAACTCGAAACCAAAGAATCTAAAAGGCTCTCTTTGTTCAAAGGTGTTCAATATGTTTGTTATGTGTTTGTTATTTTTTGTTCGTAATCCACGAGTCATGGCTCTAGCTTTGAGGCGAAGCTCGTGATCAGCTGCGGGAAGCAGCCGCTCGGGTGGCTGATGCGGAGATGATGACCAGAGCTACACAGGAGCTCCGTGAGAATTCGTCAACGCTGAGCGGATCAAAGCAGGAGAATGGCTGAATACTGCTGAATCCTTGTGCACTCATATTGAAACGTATATTAAAAGGTATTTAATGGCATATTTGTTTAATATGAAATACATTAGGACTTTAAAACTATATTAGACTTGACCCAGTCTGCATTTTCAAAATTTTGGTGTAGATTGATTTTCTGGCTAATTTCAATCGGAGTCGTTTTGCTGCATTTAAAGGACACTGACATGACTCGCGACTTTGGTTTGTTTCACACACCATACCATGTTCGCACAGGCCGTGCATTCCGCAAATCACTGGAAGCGCATCGGTGCTGAAGAGGCAGACGGTGAATCGACCATATACTGTGGAGTTGATACGGGCCTTCGTGGGCGTCTGTCCTTGGTCCTTGGAAGAAGCAGCAGAGATTCTGATGTCATATCCTGTACACCAAAATGGTGTCCGTAGTGTATTTTTATGCATTTTTTCATTTTTTTTCTGCGTAGTTTAATGGCCCCTCCATCAACACGAGAGGAATGCTGTCCCGTGGACAATCGGACCGAAGTGTAAATCATTATATATAATATATAGTGTGTAATATATTATATTATATAGTAATCATTTGGTTGAAAACTGTTGAAATGGTTGGGAAACCATGGGCAACCTGGTTGGGCAACGGCGATGTTCAATGTCCAGGTGCCCTCCCAAATGTTGCTCCGGCGCTTTGCAAGCCTGGAGCCAAGTGCCCATCAACATGTGGCATCCAGCCATTCCAACCACTGCATTTGGGATGGTTGAGGTGGACAGGTGGACCAGCTGAATGCTTCTTCCGTTGCTTCTTTGTGTCAAAAAAGAAATGGTCGGGTTTTGCCACATGCCAGCTCACAACATCCATAGATATCCATAGGATTTGTTTGAATTCAAACGGGTTTGATATGTTTTGATCAAGGACCTTTTTTGGGGGGAACTCGAAAATGCCCAAAGTAGCAATAGGGAACATAGCAAGGCTCAGCATTTCGAGAACCGCAGCTGCAGCGGCTGCCACAGCTGAGGAGATTGCGGTCCAAAGCATAGCTGATAGGGACAGAAGATATCCACCACAGCAACGTGCTAAACTGATGCGATAACTTGAAGTACCTATAAATATATTATTTGAATAGATTGTACAGTATTTAGAACATATTCACAAGTACGTGCACTTATACAGCAATTGAATTGGCGCATTGCCGGCTGTTTATGACTTGTACATTTGGACGCAAATGGAGTCATACTCACTGCTCTCTCAAAGTTGATAGAATCACGGGGATCTTCCACCGACCTCCCACCAGAAGATTCTGCTGTGTTTTGTTGTTGTAAAACTGATTCTAAATTGAATCATTTTTTCTCCCCGTCCGGTGACGGTCTATAGCAGAAAATACGTCGAATTTTAAATACTAAAAAATACCGGCAATATATCAAACTATATGTCACAGAGATGTCAATAATGATGTCAGTAGTCGTGTCAGAACATAGCAAATATGTCATGTCACTATGTAGCGCAAATGTCGATTTTACGGTCTGGGTGCACAGGATGACACAACATTAGTTGTTTCCTGATAGAACACTACGGTCATGATTTGCTGTGATTTGATCACGTTTGAGCAAAACATGGCCAACCCTGGCATCAGGACTGCAAGGCAGCCAATCCTTTCGCCAGTGATACTACGCAAATTGATCCCACGGCCATGACTTGGTTCGCGAAGCTTCAAAGCATTTGTTCCCAAAATGGCTTGCTTGATGAGACACCGCATGAGACCCTTGTATGACGGTGAAAATCGCAGCCAAGAACTTCATAGAATCTCTATTTTCCAGCCCGCAGATATTCTGTGAATATCTGTGAATTTTCGGCTCTGGGTTGGCAGAATCATGTCGCTCTGCCTTTGCAAATCTTTGCAACCTGAAACCTTAAGCATCAGAAGATATCAGAAGTATCGCAGGTTGTGTTGAGAATGATGAGAATGTGTTGAGATTGCAGATGATTGCAGAGAGCGCATCTGTCGTCCTTGCTCCAGGAACTGGAGGCTGAGCCCTCCCTGTGTAGATTCGAATGATTCAAGATGTATAAAGTGCATGTATAATCATGTACACGCTTCATTGTGTACAGTATATAGATGTATAATGATGTATATAATATAGGATACGGATATAGGTTGGGCACGCATCATGTGGCTCAACCCCATTTCCATCCATTCTTGATCCATCCTACATCCACATTCTGAAAAGAAGAAACGGAATTGAAATGGAGCAAAAGAATGCAAAAGAACTCTTGATATGTCAGCTGCACACCAGACTCACCTGGGGTTGCTAATTGTTTGTAGGGGAGACACAATGTTTGCCATTTGCAGCACTTGATGTCAAATCATACTTCTTGATACTTCTTGCAAGTTGCAGTAGAATCAGTAGAAGTTGGAAATTGTATGAAATTGTCAGGTCACTAGAGGTGCTTGTAGTTGAGTAGAAACTGCTGGAAGGGAAGTTACAGACTCTGAAACCAAACGGATATGATACGGATATAATACGGATATAAACCCCTTGATCCGCTTATACTTATACAACTCATCGCAACTCCATGTGTCCGATTTGGCCAGTACGTGGCAAAGCTGCAGCAACTGAAAGATGACCTGCAGAATGACTTGGAGACGGTGCCCTGTACTGCCCTGTACGGGTACCGTTGAGACGGTGAAATGCAGTTAAAACTTGAAAAAAGTTTGTAATGATTTGCCATTGTTGTGGTTTTGTGACACCTTCAACCTTGCGTCAACCATCGAAATTTGCCATTTTACAAACTGTGTATAGTATCCATGTCTCATTTGTTTGCTCGTTTTTGATTTTTCTTCAGGTGCGCGAGCGCATGATGAAGAGCGAGAGCAGGCTGAATCTTGTGCGACAGGCTGGGTTTGCTAGGTTTTCTTTTGACTTTGAATGAAATATGATAAATTAGTATAATTTGATCATTAGATGTAATTACTATCCTCTTTCACGGCGCAATCTAGGGATCATAAGTTAGGACAGTCGTATCTCCTGCCATTCTTTTTGCCAACCAGCTGAGCTTGGATGCAAGATGGTCCTAGGATTTGACAAAGTCATCTCAACTCACTGCTTGAGTTCAGTACAGTGAGAGTAGGCTGCCTTGACCGTTGAAGGGCTGAACATCAGAAACGGTGTGAAGAAGTGTTGAAGTCTTTAGGATGTTGGAGACACCTGGATCCTGGCATGAAACTCTCAGACCTTAACATCCGGAGTGCAAGCAGTATCTGGATATATCTGGATCATGTATGTCACCTTACCATTGACAGACTCACAATCTCTTCACAGTCCAGTGAGTCTTTAATGACAGGAATGTTTCCAGGAAGAGCGCGAGGGCATGCGAATGCAGCGGGAACTTGATGAGGCTGGGGGAATCCGGATTTACGAGTGAACCACATGCTATTGAGATCTGTAAACAACTGTAAAGATCTGTAAAGATTTGTATAGAACATGAATCAACCATCAAAGTGGCAACTGCGTATTCATTTGCTTCTTGTGTTCCTGTTGTTTCTGATTCATCATTGTCATCGTCCTTCTTCAGGTCTATTCGTTGCGGACGCTTGGTCCCAGGGATGTCCCTGGCAACTTCACCAAGTGGGCTCAGGTGCTATGGCTCCCATGGTGCAAGTGATGCCACTGTGACCGGAAGCATTTCACACAGCTGCCTCTTTGACAAAGGTTTCGGGGGTTTGTTGAATTAACAAGAAAACCAATATTTCCGCGGACCCTTTTTTTTCCTCAGCAAGGGCACTATGATTCTATGGTTCTTCTTTTCTTTCTTCTTCTTCTTTTTCTTCTTCTTCTTCTTCTTCTTTTCTTTCTACTTCTTCTTCTTTTTTTTCTTCTTCTTCTTCCTTGCTTTCTTCTTCTGTCTTATTCGTTCTTGTTGTTTTTCTTTCGATGTACTGTACAATTTGTGTCTTTAAGGGGAAGAAGGGATTGCTCGCGAGCTCGCATGGTCAGGTAATGTCGAGCCCTGGGCTGCGGCGGTCTTTTGATCCGGCGTGGCCTCCCACCGTGATGGATGATGACTGGTAGCCTCCACAGCCCAAAACCATCCAAAACCGCTACTTGGGACTTCATGGCTAATTACATGACACCACGTGTGCCTGTGAACCTGTTACACTGCACTGTCCAGATGTGTGCATTACATACTTGCAAATGAGTATGTTCACTCATGTAATAGTATAACATATATAATATATATAATATTATGTTATATTACATTATATTATATTATATTATATTATACTATACATACAGTATATGTTATACATATATATATATATATGTGGAGAAGGTACTGCAAAGTATAAAGTATATACATTGGGATGGTGATTCAGAGGGATGTTTGTATGTTTGACCTTAAATGAGTATAGCGAAATCCGTATGTAATTGTATACATACTTAATATATCTTAATTAATAGTCTTAATCAAAATATTACATTAACTGTTTTATACACATCGAATCTATGTGTATATTAGACAGAGAAATTAATACAGTATATAGATAATTTCATAGTATTCAGTATTCATATATAATATAATATAATATAAATGGATATAGACTTAGGCTCAAGATGAGAGGTTATGTGTGCAGCCCGTGGGCATCTCCTCACATCACGCCTTCAAGTTCTGCCGAGGCTGAAGCCACTCACAGTGTGGGACCTGAAAAAACGAATGAAAACCCAGACTTGACGGTGCAACATGGTTCAACATTGAATAGTGTCAAGAAGTGCTAGAATCATGGATTAGTTACAGGACAGAAACTGACAGAAACCGGTAGTAATGGCAGCTGATGAATTGGATAAAACGCCGCATCTCCGCTTGATCAATAGATTTCAGCATGATTTCAGCAGTCGAAGTGAGCACACTTCCAGTCCGAAGTTTGCCAAGGTAGGCCTATGACTAGTGAGCCCATCGTGTCGATGCCACGCTAATGGGATCTAATGGGCACACGAATTGTTAAAGCAGACGTATCCAGAAACCAATCGCACTCTGTTGGAAATACCAACACATGGAATTCAAGTCTCTTCGAGCCGGCGCTGGTTCGTAATGAAAGACGGAATGTGGAGGTATTCCTCCCTTCCGCATTATAGCCGTGCCCATGGGCCATGGCTTGCCAATGACAAAAGTTGCCAAAGCTGTTTTGAAACTTCAATCTAAGAGAGAATAAATTTGCTGCATCAAAGCTGTACACATGACTTTGCCGACCGCAGTTTTTCTAAACTGAGCTGGTCCTTTGGAGGAAGCTGCCCTGGGAAAGCACCCACGGATTCAGTGAATTTCCATGCAGAACAAATCCACAACATCAGAAACACGGTGACTTACGGGCGGTACATGGCAGTACTATCCTTTAAAATCATGTGATATCATGTGTTACCTTCACTAAGCTGCAGAGGCTCAAGTACCTGGACGCTCACGAGCAAATGCTCACTGATGAATGCCGCTGACCAAGCCAATGCCAGAACTGTCGAAGCCTAGGTGGACCAAGTCACGTGCGCTCCGACCAACAGTGCTATCGACAGCGCTGAATGAAACAAGAAATGTGTGATGATGAGATATGATCGGTGAATATCGGTGATGTTTTTGTTTCTGAACCATGGTTTGCATATGTTTGAATCTCCGAGTCCAGCATAGCTATGCAGCATAGGCATCAAAGAGCAGACCTGATGCGGTCAGGGCCTTCAGGGCCTTCAGGGCCTTCAGCTAGGCCGAGCCAGGACCTGTGCCGCAGGTCCCGTGCCATGGCGTCAGCTGCGTCAGCTCGGTCAGCTCGGTCAGCTCGGTCAGCTCTTGCTCTGGCGACTTTAGCCTTGGTGAGTGGTCACGTTTTCTCAGGCACTGCCGCATCAGCCCAGATATCAGGAGATATCAGGAGTATCTTCCCGTGTTTTCCGAATGCCGAAATGCTGCTATTACATTTGAAATTTCAAGGAATTCAAGGCTTAGCATCAATTTTGTATGGCTGAGATTGGCTGAGCAGGTACTGGTAGCTTGTTTTTTTTGTGACAGAAGTTGTTTGACAGGCACGTTTGCAGCCAACAGGCAGGCTGTCAACCGATCCGGCAGACTGCCCAGATCAGCACAGACAGACCCCAACTTCGCAGTAAATGTTGGAGCGCCTCGACCAGAAGATTCGCTGTTGAGTAGGAATGCAAACAAATATCCATCAAATATCCATCAAATATACCAACGAATATCAACTTCATTGAGCGCTGTTTGGATGATTTGACATGATAGAGCATTTGCATGAGAATCGTGGATGGATAGGGGGGTGGATGGACGTACGAACGGACGAATGGATGGATGCATGGATGGATGGATGGATGGATGGATGGATGGATAGATACATATAGAATTTATATGAATTTATAGAATTATATACAGTAGATACAGTAGATAGGATAAGATAGGATAAGATAGAATAAGATGAAATAAGATAGAAAAAGATAGAATAAGGTAGATAGGATAGATTAGATTAGATTAGATTAGATAGATTAGATTCGATTCGAGTCGATTCGATTAGATTCGATTAGATTAGATAGATAGACAGATTAGATAGACAGACAGACAGATAGATAGATAATGATAGATAGCAATATGTATAGAATATACATATATGATCATATATGTATAATATATATACCCTCTGGTAATTTAACGTAGCTATGGAAAATCACCATTTTCAATGGGAAAATCCACTATAAATGGCCATTTTCAATAGCTACGTTAAATTACCAGAGGGTAATATATATATATATAATTATATGATATTATATGATTTGATTATATATTTGTGTACACATGACGTATGTATATTCAAGTATTTCTACATGTCATGGCTGCGGACTGTCCATCTCCAAATGGCAATTTCCATCACCAAGGAGGCCACCGACACTTTGAGGAACGACCATGCCCAGATTCCTCGATTGGCTCCTGGTTTGAATGTGGCAGATCCAAGAGTTTCCTTGGAAATTGCGCAGGCAATGGCAGGGACATGGATTTGCCCCAAAAAGTATCTACGAGGTGAAGCAATTGAGAGTGTTGGTCTGAGCCTACAGATTTTTATTTTGACTAAAACTATCTAAACTATGTAGCGGTACTGCTGGGGTATCATTCTTGTAGTGGCACAGACCAGATTCATTCTGGAGGCAGCATTTTTGCCAACCCTGCAGGTGAGTGCGCTGAAATTTTCTGGTCTCACACAATACCGACAATTCTGGGACAATTTTCGATCAGGAGTGGAGTTGGTAAGCACTTCAGCAACTAGTGAGGTGCCTGGTAGACATTGATGATTTATCATGATTTATCTATTTATTTTGTTCAACCCTTTTCTATTTGTTTATCTTTGCTTGATTAGCTTCCCCTTTACATCCCTTTGATGCCCATTTGTCAGTTTCTGCGAGCAAGAGTTTCCTGTATTTTCCTCGGGTCAGCACAAAGGTGGTCAACGTTGTACAGTCTGGCTTGTATTTACGAGTTCGTTGGCGTCTCATCATGATCCCCAAAGACGTCTTGTCTGGGGCACAGAACGCAGTTCAGGCTGCCAAGGGTGCCTTCAGCGACTTGCAGCGGACAGTTCCAGCGGTCACCACGACTTTGCACTTATCAAGGCTTTTATTCTTTGACGTTGAATCGGATCTTATCCCGCAGGTGTGCTGAGAAATAAATATTGGCACATTGTGGCACCAACTTTACCAACTTAATGTGCGTTGCCTGGCAAAGACTGTTCCAATGAGTAAGCAACATCCGCGGTGTTTGTGTAATTTTGTCCGCCTTTGCGAGCAGGAATGTCTATAGCTTTGACATGTCTTGACTTGACATTCTCTGCCACTGGGTCGAGTGAAAGTCTGTCATGTGCATATGATGTGCGTCTGAGGTGAAAGACCTTTTCTCAGCAGGAGATTTCCTGAAGCAAGCAGAGGATTGGACTTCGCAACAAGGCACCCAAGCACCTGTGGAAAGAGTGGTTGAGTTCAACTCCATCTACGAGCTGGATTGTTGGAGTGGCCGCATTGTGATCCTTGATATGAAATATTGCTGTCACAGTGTGTGACCGGTTTTGTGATGAAGAAGAGCATGATTCAATGATCAACAGTTCCACTATCAATCTACTTGTTGGTACTGCTGGAATGCAAGAGCCTACTCTTTTGCTCCCTTGGCACGACTGATCAATTGTTTCCACCATGAACCTATGGATGAACATGGGAGAAAGTATGCAGGTAGGAATGCAAGCAGCATACAATTTTCCCCTGCTTCGGCTACGTGATCTGAGGAGACACACCCTAGAGTTTCGATCCCCGGAAGAAAACTTTGATTTGCTGGGAGCCTTGCAAGGAATGCCAGCCCGTTAGACAAAAATATGCGAGCGACATGAGATGCTCCTTCCCCGCTCTCCCCGCTCCTCCTGTCCCTTCCCCTTCTTGGTTCTTTCTGTTCGGAGTTGGGCCCTTTAAGCGCCCGCCCATAATACAGGAACCCCACAATACACCACACCATTACCTTAAACTCCCAATCCCCGTCCCCACACCTTTGTGCAGGGGTCCGACCTCCCTAACCCGCTGCTTCTATTAGACCAATTCGGCCGCGGTTCTGCGCTGCTTTCTTCCTTTTCTTCTCTCCAACGGTTTCCTCCCCCCTGCCCCCTACCGCCGCTCTTGTCCCACCCTTGTCGTCGGGTTCGGAACCACCCCCCAAACTCAGAGCGTCCATCCACAACACCAACGGACGAGATACAACCCCCCCCACAACCACCACACACACCCCCCCCTACTCACGCGACATGAGATGCCCGTGTAATTTGACATGCCATCAAGTCGACTCCCCTGCAGTGTTGCTGTGTGGACAGACAATGTGTAGATATTGGGAAAAACATTGAAAAACACTTGTGCCTATGACACTGTGTGACACGATAAATACAGACAGATGAAGAGCAAGTCAAATACTGCCGGCGCTGATTGCTAGAAAATTGCAAATTCCTACAGCTGCAGGCAACACAACTCAAATCCAACAGGTTGCAACACACACATTGCCTTTGAAGCGTACTTTTGCCAAAACAGCCGCAGTACCAGCACAACTATTGACTAGTGAGATTCAAGTTAACCTACTTGTCCAATCCTTTCAAACAAGCTAGTCAGAACCTGTTCAAAAAGCAAGTTAGTCAGGGTCAGGATTGTTGTGCTTTGCCCTAGCTTTATCCAGGGCTCTCTCAACAAGGAAACCATGGATAGAGTGTTTCAAAGGGTAATAATATTATATTAATATTATGAACTGTTTAAACTGGATACTCTGTGATCCGTTTGGTGCAACTGCCCAACTAGCTAAGCTATTTCAATCTGTTTCACTTGCGGTCTTTGCACAAATTGCAAGCAGGCAGCGCTCATTCACGGCCAGGGGGGCCTGCCATGGGTTGCATCGCGCCTGCCGTGCTATGACTGATCTTGAAACATCGGTCCTGAACACTCTGTGCAGATGCAAACAAGGTGGGATTCAGTGCAAGCGACTTTGGCAACTGAAATATGCTTTCGTCTCTGAGCTTTGGTCTCTGATATGGCATGTAGCATGTGATTAATATCTATGAATGGTCGGCACAATTCAGTACGTGCACAAGGAAGTCTTTACAAAAGAGTGACCTTTATCATCTTTATCATCAGCATCACCTTGCGTCAGGTGATTTGAAGAAAGGCCAAGGCCATCCCCTCTCGGGTGGTGCAGACAGGACAAGTGGAAATCAACCAGTAAAACTTGGAAAACAGCAGACTACGTAGTCGACGTAGTCGGATCATATCGGATCATACAGGAACACACGCTGCATTTTTATTGAAATTAAATCAAAGCAAACATCTAGCAGGCATGGAAATCTGAAAGTTGCTGATAATCATCTATAATATTCTATAATTAGTTGGTATTTGTACTTGCACCTCCTTGCAGTTAGTGTTGCTCTCGCATTGCCTCGATTGTGCAGCAAGCTTTCCAACTTAGCACGTCCATGGAGATTCTAGGTGTAACCCCCTCATAACTTGCATGACTGATATGACTGAGGACTTGGGACGTTGTGTTATGATCGTGTTTCGTATGTCCTGTGCTCCAGTGGCAGATGTGGCAGGGGATGATGCTTTCCGACCTATTCCCGGCGACACGGAGGATCAAGTGGAGTTCTTCTTGTGTGGAGAGCCTCCTGAGGACTGGGATGAGCTCACAGCACTGACTTCAGAAGGTGGCAGAATGACTGATTTTATCCCATGTTGTCTCTTCTTCTGACAAATGTTCGAACTGTTGCCAAAGAAACTCAGAAAGGTTTTCAAGCCTTTCATTTGAAAAGTGTGCTTTCCACATGCTTTGAATGCAGTATTCCAGAAGTCGACTGTATCTTGGTAACTGCAGACATTCGAAGCGTTGATTTCACGACAGTCTCTTGAGGAGCCTCTGCCACCAGAGGAGGTTCCTCAGCTTCCCAGCCGTCCACGGGAAGGACCGAATTTGGAGCTACTGTAGAAGCTTTGGGTTGAAACAAGTTGAAAGTGAAAACACCTCCTCGAGTTTCAATATCTCAATATATAATAATATTATATATATATATAATTATATATATATGGGAGCCGTCCGTAAAAGCAGGTCACAAATTTATGAATTGATGCGTTTACTTTGCTTTGCGCGATTGCTAAAACCTGCATCGCGATAGGCTGAGCGATTGGTTGGCGATTGGTTATACGGCTACCACCCTATTACTACTATTACTACTATTACTACTACTACTACTAGTACTACTACTACTAGTACTACTACTACTAGTACTACTACTACTAGTACTAGTACTAGTACTAGTACTAGTACTAGTACTAGTACTAGTACTACTACTATTACTACTACTACTACTATTACTACTACTACTACTACTTTCGAGACCAGAACCATGCCAATAATTGACATGGCCGCGCGGATTCCGCAATCCGCGCAGATGTTTTCAGGTCAGAAGGACATTCAAGCTAGCTCCAATTGAAAACAGGTCAGAAACAGGTCAGAAACAGGTCAGAAACACCAAAAAGGCAGCACTTGCCTAGCATCCCATCCATCCATCCATCCATCCACCTCAGCTCTTATCATTGCTACTAATACTACTACTACTCCTGCTACTACTACTACTGCTACTACTACTGCTACTACTGCTACTACTACTACTACTACTCCTACTACTACTCCTACTCCTACTCCTACTCCTACTTCTACTCCTACTCCTACTCCTACTCCTACTACTGGTATTACTGTGAGTTTTCCGGACCGTTTCCGGACCGCGCAATTTTCTTTTCTTCTCAAATATGAAAACGAATGCGTTCATGGGCGGATCCTTCTACTAGTGTTGCTACTACTCTCAGTATTACCACTAGCGCCGCTACCACTGCAACGCCGCTACCACTACTACACCGAGGAATTTTTGCCTTTGCTTTTCTCCACTTGACAGAAGTTCCACGGAAGAGTCAGAAATAGTCAGAAACCAGTCAGAAACCGGCCAAACGCAACCTCTCTCTCTCTCCCCCTTGCCTATTCCCTCACCCTCCTACCAGAACTCCTACGCCTACTCCTATTCCAATTTCCACTACCACTACTGCTAGTGCTACCACTACTGCTAGTGCTACTGCTACTGCTAGTGCGCTGTGAGTTTTCCGGACCGTTTCCGGACCGCACAAGCTTATTTTGCTCCCAAATTTGAAATCGAATGCGTTCACGCATGGATCCTTACTCTCATTACTAGATTTGCTACTACCCCCACCACCACTACCACTAGTACACCTAGGAATTTCTGCTCTTGCTTTTAAATCCAATTGCACTCGTGTGAAGGGTCAGAAACGAGTCAGAAACGAGTCAGAAACCAGTCAGAAACCAGTCAGAAACCCGTCAGAAACCGGCCAAACGCAATCTCTCTCTCTCTCTCTCTCCCTTGCCTATTCCCTCACCCTCCCATCAGAACTCCTACGCCTACTCCTATTGCAATTTCCACTACCACTACTGCTAGTGCTAGTGCTACTGCTAGTCCTGCTGGTACTACTGTGAGTTTTCCGGACCGTTTCCGGACCGCGCAAGCTTATTTTGCTTCCAAATTTGAAATCGAATGCGTTCACGCATGGATCCTTACTCCCACTACTAGATTTGCTACTACTCTTAGTACTACCACCACACCCGCTGCTACTGCACCACCACTACCACTAGTACACCTAGGAATTTCTGCTCTTGCTTTTAAATCCAATTGACACGAGTTCCGCTGAAGGGTCAGAAACGAGTCAGAAACCAGTCAGAAACCAGTCAGAAACCCGTCAGAAACCGGTCAAACGCAACCATCTGTTTCCCCCTCCCTCCCTCTCTCTCTCTGTCTTTCTCTCTTTCCCTCCCTCTCCCTTTCTTCCCTTGCCCTGCTACTAGAACTCCTTCTCCTATTCCTACTCCTACTCCTACTCCTACTCTTACCCCTCCTCCTACTACTACTACTACTACTACTACTACTACGACTACGACTAGTACTACTAGTACTACTAATACTACTAGTACTACTAGTACTACGAGTACTACTAGTACTACTGCTGCTGGTACTACTGTGAGTTTTCCGGACCGTTTCCGGACCGCGCGAGCCTATTTTGTTCCCAAATTTGAAATCGAATGCGTTCACGCATGGATCCTCATTATATAATACATAACTTATATTTTATGTATATGATCTGATCAACGAAGAACAAACCCTTCCGCGATTGCTCACTGTGGTACCGCGGTTGCTACGCGATTGGCTGAGCGATTGAGGGCTGTCCGGGAAAAGGTATTTTGGACAACCCCCATATATACATACATGCATGCATACATAATCATACATACATACAGTATATCTTCCGAAAGCGTATTGTGGAGATCTGTTGAGTATGCGTGCGTTGCATCCCCGCTGTTGGGACTACATTCTGTCTCTAATGCTTGTATTGACATTTATTTAACATATTTAACAGCCTTCGGCATTCCCCCCAGCCCTCTGGCCTGTGGCCTGCAGACCCAAAGCACGGGTTGTTTAAAGCTGGTTGGTGTAAAGGTTGGTTTGTCGAACAAGTGGTGCGTGTAGAAGCTGGGTTGTAAAATTTAAAAGCTGGTTGGTGCAAAAGGTGGTTTGTGTAAAAGCTGGTTGTTCGAAAAGTTCGTGTGCGTAGAAGCTTGTGTGTGTGTAAGACCGTGGAGGCTGAACAGAAAGGAGTGAAGTGGGCATAGGCATAGATGCAAGCGGCATGGCTGTGAGAGTGCATGCGGAGAAGGCCGCGAGTGCAGAGGAAGAGCAGTGGCATGTGCTTCTGGAGAGTGTTGGGCGCAAAAGCGGCAGGTGAGAACGTACTTCTGCCTGGACGGGGCAGGAAACCGTGGAGAAAACGTGAAAAATGCATAAAAATGCTGCATCCCAGGGGCGAGCCGGAGGAACGAAAGAGAAGACGGACATGGGAGGATCAAGGAGGATCAAGGAGGAGAACAGAAGAAGATGATGATCATGATCATGATGATGCTGATGCAGATGATGATGTTGACGCTGATGCTGATGCTGATGCTGATGCTGGTGAGGCTGATAATGATGGTGAAGATGATGACGAATGATGACGATGATGTTGTTGTTGTTCTTGTTCTTGTTGTTGTTGTTGATGCTGATGCTGCTGATGATGATGATCATGATGATGATGATGTTGTTGTTGTTGATGCTGATGCTGCTGCTGATGATGATGATCATGATGATGATGATGATGTTGTTGTTGTTGATGCTGATGCTGCTGCTGATGATGATGATCATGATGATGATGTTGTTGTTGTTGTTGATGCTGATGCTGCTGCTGATGATGATGATCATGATGATGATGATGATGATTATGTTGTTGTTGATGCTGCTGCTGCTGATGATGATGATCATGATGATGATGATGATGTTGTTGTTGATGCTGATGCTGCTGCTGCTGATGATGATGATCATGATGATGATGTTGTTGTTGTTGATGCTGATGCTGCTGCTGCTGATGATGATCATGATGATGATGATGATGATGACGATGGTGATGATGCTGCTGCTGCTGATGATGATCATGATGATGATGATGTTGTTGCTGATGCTGATGATGATGCTGCTGCTGATGATGATCATGATGATGATGATGTTGTTGTTGATGCTGATGCTGCTGCTGCTGATGATGATCATGATGATGATGATGATGTTGTTGTTGATGCTGATGCTGCTGATGATGATGATGATGTTGTTGTTGATGCTGCTGCTGCTGATGATGATGATGATCATGATGATGATGATGTTGTTGTTGTTGATGCTGATGCTGCTGATGATGATGATGATGATCATGATGATGATGATGTTGTTGTTGATGCTGATGCTGCTGATGATGATGATGATGATGATGATCATGATGATGATGATGATCATGATGATGCTGATGCTGATGCTGCTGCTGCTGATGATGATCATGATGATGATGATGATGTTGTTGTTGATGCTGATGCTGCTGCTGATGATGATGATGATGATGATGTTGTTGTTGATGCTGATGCTGCTGCTGATGATGATGATCATGATGATGATGATGTTGTTGTTGATGCTGATGCTGATGCTGCTGCTGATGATGATCATGATGATGATGTTGTTGTTGGTGCTGATGCTGCTGCTGATGATGATGATCATGATGATGATGATGACGATGATGATGATGCTGACGATGGTGACTACGACGATGACGATGACCACCGAGATGGTGGCGGTGACGTAAATAAGGTCAATGCCAGATCGCTTGAGAAACGAAACTAGACCAGATGAGACCAGACGCGACTAGACTATACTATAGAACTCTAGACCATAGACTATCCTAGATTTTACTAGACCATACTAGAGTATATATACTAGACTATAGTAGGTTCGACTAGACTTTAGTGTGTATGTGGGGGTAGGTGGGTGCGGGGTAGGGCAGCGAAAACAAAATCTGTCGAAGAAACAATCTATAGGTTAAACTAAAGCTAGCACAAGATGCATCACAGGAACATCCACAAAACACGCTGGCAGGCCGGCGGATTAAGCATGGTTTGTTTGATGCACTTCTATGGACACGTTTAGCCGCTGAGTGTTGGAACAGATGGCAAAGCATTGGCAAAAGATGTGTTTCGTTTGGTCGGAAGCTGACAGACATGTGCCATGGTCAAAAGCACCAGTTGTTCGCATGTTATTCGCGCCATAAAAGGATATAAAAGGGCATGGTCATCCCCACATCAGTAAGGGTTAATGTAATATACCGATTATATATGCTGTTTGTATATTACAGGATGGTTATTGTTGTTTTTTCCCGGGGTTCAGATTTGCTTCCCTGTTTCTCTACTTTTTTGTTTTTCCCTGCTTCCTTGCTTCTCTGTTGTTCTGCTTGTTTGCTTCTCACACTTCTGTTTCTTGTTTTTCTGTTTGTCCCTGCTTCTTTGGTTTCTTTGCTTCTCTGTTTTTCTGCTTTGCTTCTCTGCTTCTCCGCTTTTCTGATTCTTTGTTTTCCCTGTTTTTTTGCTTGTCAGGCCCAAGTAAAACATAAAAACTAAGCCCTAAACCAACCCTAAAAGACCTAAAACTAATCCAAAACCAACTCAAAAAACCCGCCAAAACCCACCCAAACAAAACCTTACCCGTTTAATCAACCCTGAAATCTTAAAACTAATCCCAAATAAATCTTAAACCAACCTTAAGCCAACCCCAAACAAAAACTAAACCAACCCTAAATCAACCCTAAATGAACTCTAGTTGCAAAAATACAAGCAACATGAACACTTGGAGCACCAAAATGTTGCAAATATCATGGAAAATTAATTGTTCGAACTCCAAAATGTTGCAAATACCGTTGAAATGGGAGTTTCCAGCTTCAAAATGTTGCAAATAGCAAGGAAAGCGGACAGATGCGGACAGAACAGGATATCCAAAAAAACAAAGCGGATCAAAGCGGGAAAATAATGATTCCCAAGATTTCCCAAGACAATTCCGGACACTCTCTCTCTCTCTCTCTCTCCATATACATATAATAATCATATACATACGTGGCAACAAAAAAGAGAATCCCTCGACTAATCACAAGATATCCGTTGCATGCTCGTGTGAGGACTCATCACATACTCAGCCGAGATGGACCTGTGGTTTGACTGCAGGGAGAGCATCAAAAGGAAGAAGATACGACCATGCGCTGGATTTTCTGACACCACATCATTTAAATTTGACATTTTTGACATACTTCGACAACGAATTGAATTTGTCTATGAACATTTACATGAGATGAAACCAGGGAGGGTTCCTCCATCGGCGCAAATTGTTCTACAACATTCTATACATTTCTATATACTATACCTTATTATACCTTATTTACGTTCCTTTATCCTTATTTATTTTATCTATTGTTATTTCTCCTTATTTCTCCTATTTTCTGTATTGTTCTGGACTCATTTGCACCGCTTGCAACCTCCGCAGTTGTTTTCTCGGAGCATTCGGAGCCGAGGCCGCTCAATGAACCGGCAATGAGGTCTGGGGAGGCCGAGGGCCGAGAGGGGCCGAGATTCCGGGAATTTCCAGGATCGGAGCAATACTCTTTGCACATCTTTGCACACTAGAAACATCTAGAAACTGAAGAGCATTTGTGGTGTTCTAGCAGGGTTTGGAAACGCCTCTTCTTAATCTGTAGGAATCAAAGCAAAGATTTTTTTGGATCGTCAAGGTTAATTAAGATAATTAAGGGCTCATGAAGATCATGAAGCTCGATGTTCAGCTTTGCCCAGGTATGGCACCTGTGCCAAGAAGATGGAAAGACCTTTGAAAAGGTGATTCTATCCATTCACTCGAATGGTTTTTCAATTAGCTACTTGCCTTGGAGCTGGCTGAGCTACATGAAACATCATGAACATGAAACATCATAAGACTGTAAGAAATAGCAGCAGTAGGTCTCGTAGTTTGAGAAGCTTCGAACAGCGGGCCGATCATCAATCACTTGCAAGTGGGACTTCGTGACATGTTTAAGAAGTGCATTGTTTTCGCTGTTTTGATTTGTTCCTTTTCTATCATGGTTTTTTCTGTCGTTTTCTTATTTTTCTCAATCTGCGCCTCCCCCTCTGAGGATACCCTGATGATAGTCTGGCGGGTCTCAGTGTCGCATGGTCGCCCTTCTCCTTGGTCCAAGCGTGTCGACTTCACACCATCCAGGTGGGATGGGCAGGGCATGGCAGTGCAGGGCGCTGATTGGCACGATTTGGCCCTTTGGCACGTTGAAACTGACGTGTTGAAAGGCAACGGGTACATACAGTACATAGATGATCATAGAAATCATAGATGTACATAGTCCAGCAGTGAAAGATCTTGGAAATCATGAGGCCTTAGCAAGTACACGCCATTACTTTGCCAGTTACACCAGTCATATGGTTTGTACCGGCGTGATACAAACAGGTGATTCGGCAAGTTGCTTTCTCGCTGCGAGAAAGGACGTCAAAGTTTGGCTTGTTCTGCATGGCATGGATAGAAAACGAAAGCTGCTGTCCACTTGTTCTTGCACGTTGTGATTTCATGTGATTTCATGATTCATCTATTTGATGAAATCATATGGAATCATCAATTCCTCCCCGAGTTTCCTCTGGCGGCCCTCAGGCAGACCAGTCACAGCCCTGGCTGCGGCTATTTAAAGTTGCGTGTTTGCAAGTGGCAATGCAGAGAAAGCAGCGCAAGCTTGGAAAGCAAAGTTGCTACTTTGGGACTTCATTCTGTTTGACGGAGACTCATTCATGGTGCTTGTAGCATTTTGGAATAAGACATGATTAGATTCCAGGCTGGTCGGCTTGCTTCGTTGATGCCAATGATGCCAATGAAAGATGCTCATGAAGCCCGTAGACTTCATCATACCTTGGAAACGATCCACCACAAGGGCTTCAGTAGACCTCGACTGTAAGTGACCCGAAGCTTTTGAAAAGCGCAGTGTGAATCTGTTTGTATTCGCACGTAGCAAGAAATATGTTTGTAATTATTATTTATCGATGCAAGTATTGTATACTATACATTGTAAACCTTCCTTCTACGCTAGACACTATGGAATCATATGGAATCTAACTCTAGGTTTGAATACATGCATTTCATGGCATTTCCATGTCGCCCCAGCCGGCACATGAGTGTTTAGTTAAGGTGTCCGTGTTCCACCATGGTTTGACGCATTTCTTTGCCACCCATGGTGTTGGAGCAGATACGGAGAGAGCTCGATGGGTCGCAGATGCCACTCAACTGAAAGAGAATAAAGAGAGCTCTCAGACTCTCCCTCTTCAAGATCAAGCTGATCAAGCTGATCAAAGATTGTGATGAATGACAAATAATGAATAGGAACAAAAATAACAAAATACGATGAAATAATTAAGAAGCGGTCATTTTGTTTTTTGCTGAACCCTCTCGCTCGCTGGAATTCTATTGGAAAATGTGCCAGGTTCAGGGTTAAAATATGTTAAAATCTTCAAGATTTGAATCATTTCCAAGTTGCTTGACATTCCTTGAGACATTCGTTGACATTCGTTGATTTTGATTCTCAGCCCACTTCTCAGTAGCTGAGGTTTCACGTGCGCTGCGTCTCCTGACACAATCACTTTTTCCATCTTTTCAATTGGCAGTCTTTCCACTGCCTGGTGCAAGCTGGACTGCGACACGGCTTTTGGCAGGTGTGGATCTTGGCGTGTTTTCTGGTTAAGAAGAAGAAGTTTTGTCATGAGACATGAGACATAATCTATTGAAGAGGAAGAAGACCGAAGAAGAAACTGTTCTATGCCCTTGCCTGCAAGTATGAAATCGTGACAGAGAAAGTGGATTCGCTTCGGTTTGCAGATGCGTTTTTGATTGTTCTTGGTGCCCAGGGCATCTTTCACACGGGTGTGGTGACAGATGCACAACAGATCGAATCTTGTGTGCGCAGTTGCTTTCCAAAGCTGCAATCCCTGACAACAGGCTACATGCTGCTCTACGATGATCAGGGAGTGTCTTTGGTGTATGGCAGCTCGTCATATGTCCAGAGGAGGAAGGGAGGGAGGGACAAAGGCTCAGACTTTGGCACAATATTGCAACTTGATAGCACAAACAGAATATCGATCCCTACTGTACTCGTACATCAATCCAATCCCGCACAGACTAAAGTGACTAGAGGGTCAAATAAAATTAGCTACTGGATGCTACTGGTACTTACTTGTAGTCTACTCATTGGAGGATTCGACTTATCATGCCTTATCCATATCCAGCAGACCGAAGCCAAGGCGAGCTGCATGCACACTGCGACAACACTGCAGGTTTTGCAGCCTATGAGGATGATGCCTGCAAGGCCGCTCAGGGATGCTCAGGGTAGGCCACCAGGTCAATGTATGGGGCCTGAAGATAGCAAGGTTAGCAAACCCCAAAGATCCCAAAGTATGATCGAATTCAGGACACAAACGTAACATCATAGACGGTGTGTGTGCCCACAGTGTGTGTGTGAGTTTTGTCGAGTTTTGTCGAGTTGACAGGTACAGGTGGTCCACCTCGCAATCGACACCAACACCTGTCACACGTTTGCACAGAGGGATGTTGATTGGCAACTCTTTACAGACGCCTTACGGTCCAATGATCAACGTGACAGTTCTTGACTGAGTCTGTTTGGCCGACTGCCTTTTTCCTATCTGATTCATGCCTGTTCCATCCTGTTCTCTTGTTAATGCTTATTTGCAATTTTCACAAACTTTGCTCAGGCGTCAGCGAGCGCGTGGGAATTGACTGCAGTTGCTTCAGCTTGGGAGACCACCACTTCTCAACGCGAACTTGTGCGGAGAAGATGCTATGGCTCCGAGCCATTAGCAACGTGAAGGCCAGAGTCTGCTAGCGGATTGCATAGCCTAGGACTACAGAATGGTTCCAACTAGTTGACTTTCTATGTTCTCCTTATCCTTCAACGTGTTGCCTATTCCCTAAAATGCCTAAAACATTCCAAACCATCCTGAAATCATACGAGATCGAATCCATGAAAGCAACTGCGTTGTGCCATGATGTGTACCAGGTGAAGTTGCGACACCTAGCAGCTACACCGAGCCCCACGGAACTCCGCTTCTACCGCTCCGCGGTCAGAGAGCAGAGCCTCGGGAAAAACGATGGGATGTTGACTCATGTGGACTCACATTGTATCCATGTTGTACTCATGTATTCATTGTATTTTAATGTATTTTATACTGTCTGTGTATGATATGAAGGGTATATCAGGTATATCATATATAATATTAATGTATAATGTTACTAAATGTTCAGTTTGAAATATATAATTATATGCAAAATGCCTTTTCTCTTCCTTAGAAGGGCTTGACCTACTGAACCTGGATTTGCAAGGATGCTTGTTCCGTCTGAGATCAATGAACAAGCAGTCAGGCAGAAAGAAACAGTCTTCTGTGATGTTGATTTGCAAGTCAGAACCTACATTGATGATTTACATGAATTTACTCTATACTGTACCCAAGGCCTCAAGATATCACAACGAATTGTTTCTTGAACAGGGTGTTCTCGAACAAGTTCATTAAGATGTTCGGTTCCGTATCGTGTGCCCTCTTATGTGTAACATCATCATGCTCATTGCATTTTTTGAAATTCCATGAATGCGGGCTGTGCACACCTCTCAATACTTTCATCTCAGTGGAGTTAGGTTCCCAGGTGTAGCTCCTCCAGAGATTGTAATCATTTTGTAAAAGGAGGTGTAGAGCTGAAGATTTGATAAGATAATATAAGAATTATATAAGATGTGTACCTGTAGTTGCTCCTGCAGCCCTGTTGCACAGCAAAGCACAAAATTGAAGAGTTAGCTTGTCATAAATCCCGGCATCGCCCAGCCTTCGAGGATCAACAGCCTTCCTCCTACAGGGGAGCCAGAGCCCGTGCCAGCGTTGCTGCCCCGGCGACGAAGCAACTTATCGCAGTTGCCACGCATCCTGGTGGCATCGGCGGGAACCTTGAGGTGGCAAGGCAGTTGGAATATCAGTTGGTATCCCACTGAACATCTGGGATATTAACATTATTAACAAGAACGGCATTAAGCGGGCACACTTCCACCTTCGGTTCAGTTTGACTGACACCTGGATGTGTTCAGTGTCCCACTTCCTTTCTCCGAAAGCTTCACTTGTTTCAGCTTCTTTTTTTATCTCTTACCCCTATTTTCTCCCAAGGCCTTTGTGTACGTTGTCATTTTGTGAGGTGCGGGACCAGGCCTTTCAGCCCTGCCTGTGATGTCACTGCAAGCGAGTCCAAAGCCAGACTCAGGTGCCACATATGCAGCAAGGTATGTTTGTGTGTGTGTGTGTTTCCTTTTCTGCCACTGTTTAACAGAGAAGACCGAGAGATAATTGTGTTGCAAAGACTGATGTTTGTGGGATTTAAGATGTGTCTACTGCTATTCAGATCCATAGTGTGTTCCTAAGTATCTAATATTATCTAATAACGATATGTTACGTTTTTTTAAAAACATTTTGGACTCAGACGATGCAGGTGGCTTCAATGGCGGGGGGCCCAACTGCCAAGCCTCGGAGCCCGTGGCTTTGTTGAAGGAGCACCCTGCACGGCGTCAGAATCGCAGAATCGCAGAGATCCCAAACAGAAATGCAAGGAAAATGAAGGATATCTAAAGCACCCTGCACGGCGTCAGAATCGCAGAATCGCAGAGATCCCAAACAGAAATGCAAGGAAAATGAAGGATATCTAAACAATTCTAAACATATGTAAACATATAAATTAGTAAACAAACATTTATATATATATATAACATTATATAACATTATATACTGGTTGCGATGGTTGCGGTTGTTACTACTACGAGCAGGACTAATACAGGATGAATATCAAGATCATTGATCATTGATGATTCATGATACACTATACATTTCAAGCGAGAGAGGACCTCACGTAGATTGGATGGGCGTTTCATATGGTTTACTTCAATGAGTGTCACGGAGACATGCATGGCATCATCTTAGGCATCAATCAGTCATCTTCCACTCTCTCAATCGTGGCAGCAGGGCTATCTCCACCCTGTCATTTTGCTGGGATGAGTAAGGAGCGTCATAGTGAAATTCACTTCAGCCCGATCATCTAAATAGAGAGATGTATAAAGATGTATAAAGATGTAGATCAATGTAGATCAGAGATGATCAGAGATGATGAGAGATGATGAGAGTAGATTGTGACAACACAAAGACCATTGGTCCATTGGTGCAAGGACAACGGTTCTGATGGTGGAGTTCCACCTCCTGCGGAGTTCTCCCGATCCACTCGGGTGCCTTCGCATTCCGACATCCCTGGACCAATTGTACACCAAAACCACCAAAGCAGGGCAAGACAATGACTCATGGTATCTCATGGTATCTCATGGTACTCGTAGCCTTGTACCATTTTGTACCTACCGAATCCAGACACTTCAAGATCTTGCATACTTGTCAATGCGATGATTTATCTGTGTTTGTCATAATATTGATGTTTTAGATTCGGAAAAGGCCCAAAGGGGAGGCTTCCTATGTTCATCACTTCAAACGATCCATCATTCATCCATATTTGTTCACGATGGGGTACTTGTCAGCTAGCTGATTGTTTGACGATATGATACAACTTGATTCAACAGTTTTACACTTTACTTGTTTATGTTCTACTCGAATATATATATATATATAATTATATATATGGTGATCGATCTAAAGGTCCTTGTAAGGAGTTTTAATTGCGAAAGCCGTGGGTGTTATGTTGGAAACCCTCGCGAAAGTTTTTTTTTCGATTTTGCGAAAGTAAAATTTTATTTCGCGAAAGTTTCGCGAAAGTTGGGTATTATAATCATTATATGTAAAGGGCTGCCACCCACTGCCGCCCGGGGTCCGGCAGGAAAAGGGCACCAGAGAATGCGAGTAGCAGTAGCCAAGTTTCCAAAAGTGAGGCTTTGCGAGAGCCAAACACCAAGGCCCCTGGTCTTCGCTTTTCCTTCAGTGCACCCCCTGCTGATGGCCGGGGTCTGTGAATAGGGATATTTCCGCGAAAGTTATGCGAAAGAGCGGGCGAAAGTCAAAGTGCATGTTGAAGGGGGTGGGCCAGTAAACTTTGCACAAAAGAATCTGTCCTGAGAAGGGATTCCGTGATGCTAGCTGCATGTTTAAAAGGCTACCAAGAAGTGATCCGTGATTCTCTGGCGTAATTTGGCAGGTGGTGAACGAATCTTCATAAGAGGTGTTGTTGGCCAACATGGGCCCCGCGAAAGATAAACATGGAGTTCGCGAAAGTTTCGCGAAAGTAAAATTTTTATTCGCGAAGAATGGCCGTTCCGGGATAAAGGAATTTTGATCAACAACCATATATACAATAGTGTGTTTTTGTATTGTTTTGTTCAACAGATGCTGGATTGAGTGTTTCATTTTTCTATACATCACGTATGATTAATAATATTATGAGTCAAATGCATTCACATCTTATCTAAGAGATTTTGAAATCGGTGCGGAGTGACAAAAGTTGTCTCATTGCCCATTTTGGCTTGTTGTGTTGATTTTCTGGCGTAAGGCGTAAGGCGTAAGGCGTTGTGCTTGGCTTGCACATTGCCCTCCGGACAGCATCCTTCCTGTGGGCTCAAGATGCACATTGTATCATAGTTTTCTTATGTTTCCTTACTAGACTTACTAGACTAAAGTTTCAATTTTGAACTCTTGTTGATTGCAACAAATGTTTGACACGGTTCCCACGTCAACGTTGCACAACCGCAATACATCACGGCAATTCAAACCCCAGACAAAAGCAAGCAAGCCTTTTTCATCCTTTTCAACTTTCCTTCCAACGTTTCAAATTGTGGACTCACGAGGCATCCTATTGTACCCACGGATTGCTTTCTCTCAAGGTTGCACTCGGTGAAGTTGGTGGTCGACAATTGGCCAATGCCGCTGAGTGAAATGTATCAATGGGTTGCTGAGCAAGTTTTGGGGTGTTGGTGAAGGTTCCACTTGCAACATGGTTCGTGGTGTTTGTGTGTGTGTGTGTTTTTTCTCCTTCTTTTTGTTGCTTTACCACGCTGAGATGTTGCCAGTGCCCAATCGCACAAGGTGAAAGCCGCAACAGGAGTTTAGTAATATATTCACTGCGCAGATGTGTGCTTAAAAGACGATTTCCTGAAACTCCGAAAGGATTTATTTCACGGAATACTTCTCCATACTCAAATCTATATATTCAAACATATTCATATTCATACTTTAAATCCACTGCAGTGTTTCATTCATGTGTGTCTCTTTCTATATGAAAATAGAGAGGCAGTGTGTGTGTCTTGTCCGACAGCAAGCAACGCTCCTGCGTCACGTTAAGTTGCTACCTGCAATCATCCTGCCCCGACTAAGGACCGGTCACATATTTGAAGCCTGCGAAATCTGTGGGTGTCAGACTGGTGGCAGTGTCTCCTCATCTGAAGGTTGCACTAATTGTTGGCAATGCTGCTGAAAGGGAGGTACTTGCTTCCTCCTTTTAGAAAAAGGAAAACATCACGAGGAGTTGAGCCAAGCAGGCTCGCTTCCTTTTGATGGGAAGGGAAATCTGAATGCTTCAATATCGTACTTCCAAAAGGAAGCCACTCATTTGCAGGCTATGGAAAAAAGATGAAAAAAGAGTTCAGCAGCTTGCGATGCAAATCCAAGTCCTGGACTCCTCCACTTCTGGCAGAAAAAACATTAGGAACGATGCGGATCGATGCGGTGTGTAGTCATTTTTGCAAACGAGCAGATGTTGAGGGAATGCTACGCTATGCTACGCTGTTGCACAAGAGCTTGTTTTCTTGCAGGATGAGATGCATGCTTTCTTTTGGAACCTCTCGTTGTCTACACAGATAAATCACGACCTATCCAGTTTGGCTGCTGCCTTCACGTATCTCATCTATTTTCGGTTCGAAATAGGCATGAATGTACAAGAATCACAAAGTTGTTGACCATGACCAACAACATGCTCTCATTGAGAGATTTGCCAATACCAGTCCTCCAATCAAGTCTTGTGAGCAAGGTTGTTGTGTTTGATTCTTTTTCTGGAGATGCTGGTTCCAAAAGCAGTCAAGTTAAAAATTCAAAACAATCCGATATACTTACCACTATACCGGCTATACCGTAACCACTTTCCACAGAAGATCACAGAAGTGTAGCACACAAATTCACTATTTGGGCCCCGAAGCTCGCTAAAGATTTGTCTGCAAAATTCAACAGACATCAACAGACACACCACGCAAGAATCGTTAAGATGCCACATCAAAGCACGCATTTACTTTCAGCTTCCGTCACAGCATGGACGCGATACAGCCACTGAGTCGCATCAAGATCGGCGAAGATCGGTAGCATCAAGGTCATTTGAGGTCGATGGCATTTTTGTTGGGCCATTGTTGATTTCTAAACCGTCACAAACGTCTTGGCGTGAGCAGTTCAATCCTGGTGTCCATTTTTTGATAAAATCGCATGGCAATTCATCATGATAAAATCCCATTTTCATCCATTTTCCACGAGCTTGCACTGTGCCAAGCACGTGGAGCACCATGGAGCACCATGGAGCACCATGGAGCACCCAGGTTGGAGGCTTTGGAGACAGGTAGGCCCAGAAGCTTGTTTCGCTCGCCTTATGTGGCCTAGCTGCAGAAGTTGGGGAGTTGGCACCAGAAATGAAGGCTGTGTTGTCATGGGCCGTTTGGGATCGTTTGATCATGGGATGTTTGCAGAACTTTCAGCGAGTATGATGTGTTTTGCCGCAGCATGGGCCAGAGACCAGTTTGGACATATTTAGGATACTGGATTCAAAGCCTCCATGAGATTAGATTCAGACTTGCGATCTTGAGCGTGTTAACATCTATATAATTCTGTATATACATATACATATACATATACGTATGTATATATATATAATTAATATAGTGTGCCATTGAGAGCTTCGTTATGCACTTTACTTTACATAGACTTGTCATGTCTCACCATCTTACCTTGCTTGCAACCACATCAACCAGCATCCCATGTGCAAACAACACAGACATGGTAGCGCAGCAGCGTAGCAACAGCGACCGTGAGATCCAGGTCCTCCGTTCTCCATGGAGATCGCAACTCCGCAGATTTTTAAGGCGCGTTTCGCATTTTTCGGGATGGATTGGGCAGATATTCGCAGGTGGGCCGGCTCATGATGAGTCAATGGCAATCAAGAACAGAGCCTCGATTTAGACTTTGTATTATTCTGCATATTCTGTTTGGTGATCAGATTCGGATGATGTGATTGATGATAGATAGCATGAGTCGATCTAAGAATTTTGAAGCTTCTTTACAGGTCCAGCGTAGCAGATGCAAACAAACCCTCGAATACGGAACGCATGTGTGTGTGTGTGGAATTTGGACATGCTCATGAGAGCAGAAAAAACGTAGAATACAAGCAAGATAGAGGAAAGGAAGACAGTGTATGATCCTGCAGCTCTGGGACTCCTGACCCCAGGCCAGTGCTTCTCTTTTTCCTGTTGCCCTTCATTGGAACAGCTTGGCTCGGGCGGCGCAAGGACACTCTTTGAGCATCAGGTCGTGTTCTGGGCCCCAAAAATTTGTTCAGGGATGGTTTGAGCTTGTCAAAGATTGTTCTGGATGTGTTTCGTGTATTTGTTTTGTTGGAAGCTTGGATGGAGCCAGGATGAAAAACAGGTTCTGCTTTGTATCTCCAGGAGGAAACGCGTGAAATCGCAGAGGAAAGACCCGTCGTGGATGTGGATTTTGTAGAGCTTGAGGCGTGGCAGCTTGCAGAGAGAGGGAAAATTCAACTGCAGGTCGAATCAGGCATGAGTTTCATTGAAGCATTTCAAAACCACGGACCTCAGTATCTCAAAAACAGATCTTGACTTGCGTGCTGTCCTTCAGTTTTTCCATGCCTCATCATGCCTCTCTTGCATCTTGCTGCTCTCTACCTTTATCACCTTTCCAGTTCCGCAGTTTCTACTCCCCGGTTTCTCAGCAGGGATATTGCATCAATATACTGTAGATGCTTTAAACATGGAGTAGGAAATGTACGTACATTGTATATCATTATTGTATTACATTGTATATGTGTATATACATTGTACACTGCCATTTGAATAGTAATACAGTAATATGGTGATTCTATGTGATTCTATGTGGTTTTTGATGATATGTTTTGCTGGGTTTTGTTCACAGAATTTTCTGAATATCAACGTAGTCGCTTCCCCACATGCCTGGTTGGAGCATGTTCTGCAAGTGGCACTTGTGCCACAACGAGCTAGGTACCCGGACCTGCGGTGCGCTTCCAGATCCACAAGCTGTACTTTCCACTTGCACCTCCTGTGGCCATTGCCTTGGTATGCCTCGGAATATCTCGGTATGCTTTGCTGTATTCATACATTTTTTACATTACTGTACAATTAATTTCGATTCTTGAGGTGGTAAAACCCTGTGCAAACTGGATGAAAAATTTGGCAGCTGTCAATACTATAGCTCTCAGCCCAGCATAGCCCAGCAGGTCAAACTCATGATGTTTTCAGTGCCAAAGATTCTTTCTCCATGTGTATCATATATCATACAGACCCCACAATCTCGGACCAGTGCGAGTTGCTCCATTTGGCATGTCGCATGTTGGTGAGCTCAACGAGGCACATTGGATGAACAAGTCTGATTTGAAGTTTAGTTGCTTGGTGTGATATTTAGCAGACACTGAGTCTAGTCACTGGGTTCAAAGGGAAATTGAATTCACATGTCGTGGGTACTTTCCCGTTTAAACTAACTAATTAATTCTAAGGATTTGATACTATATATCAATTGTATATGTGTTAATTGTTTGATATTGTTTGTCTATTTGTCTATCTTGATTGTATATTTCTCGAGGTGTTTTGGTGTTTTATGGCCATAAGCCACGTTCAGCGCCAGTCCACGGGAATGTCTTGCTTCAATTTGCTTCAGCATTTGCTTCAGCATTTGCTTCAGCATTTGCTTCAGCATGCTTCAGCATGTTTCAACATGTTTCGGCCAACCCTCATGCATCATGCAGCTGAGCTCAAAGAATTGGCACTGGGTGTAGTAGGATGTACTCGTAGGCATCCGCAAGGCCCACAAGTCAAGGTCCAATCAAGAAAGTATTGGGTCAGCACGTCAGCAGGAAGGACAATGATACCCACTGCATGACCCAAAATGACCATATTTATCGGATAATCGTACCACGTGTCCTTGTAGAGGACATAGAGGGACTATACATGTCGCAGATCAGTGACCATTGGATGACCATTGGCAGAGGTTCGTCTATTGAAACGCCACTGGCGATTCCTCCCCGCATCCACGTGGTCATCAAGGGTGAACCCTTGCAGCGGCTTGGCTCGGCAGGAGGTGTGACAACGGGTATCTCCTGAACATATGTGAACACAACTCTACTCAAACAAACTCAATTATATCATATGTAATTCATATGTACTTCATATGTAATTCATATGTGATGTTATCAAAGTCTACACGTGTGCGTTCTGGGCAGCTCGAGAATCGACCTAAAGCTGAATGAATAATGAAGCAAATACGCTTAAAGAAATCTTAAACTTTCTTAAAGACTCTAAATCAATCTAAATCATATATATTTGATGATGATCATACTTGACCGGGTGTGGCCAGAAGGTGGGAGGAGAAGCTGGGCCTATCTGATAGGCAAATGTTTGGAGGAATATGAGGAATGCACCCTCGGGGCTGGTCTGGACGTAATTTTGGAATATTGTGCAATATGGCCATTTCAACACTCTGGTTTTTTTTTGATTGAGAGCTGAATGACATGTTTATACAATAATTTTTATAGATGTCCTTGCAAGGGATCGGCTCCCATGAAACCTGCAGTGGATGCCAGCGGCCATGACCCAGTCCCCAGGATTGGCAACGTGACAGCTAAAGGTGCCGCTGCAACTCTGGAGTGTCAGTGTACAGATTTTTTTTGCAAAGGTTCTGTGTTGCGGCGGTGGAGAAACATTTATTTGTCCTTTCCATTAGCAAAAGCTTGAGTCCATGCCACCTAAATGTCGTCAATGCATTTCGCTGCAGAGCGCCAGACCAAGTTCCAGGAATTCACACCATCCTGGAGCTGCCCGAAAATGTGGATCCTCGAGCATGCAAGGCGTGGGCAATTAATTGGCATAGCTGTGAAGATGGTAAATTGTGCTAGAATTGACCCCTCAATAGAATTCCATGTCAACCATTATTATATTCAAGTCATGTTTGATTTGTTTTACCAGTATGATCCATATTGGACCATCCGTTTCGTGTTGCAGGTCGCAGTGATAGTGGCCTCTGCCCGGATCTGAGCATGCCCGGGAAGGCAAACACGAAGGCAACAATTCTGCAGAGGATTGTCATGGAGGAAGATCCAGAAGAAAAGAAAATTCGAAATAATATGAAATACTGTCATTAATTAATTAGAATGATCAAACATGATCAAAGCATGATCAAAACATGATCAAACATTATCAAACATGATCAAAACATGATCAAAACGAGCTTTTATAGCCATGCACTGCCATATCTTTTTAACAGCTGATCCTGTGAAAGTTGCGAAACAAGACTCTGAATAGAGTACTCCACTTCAAAAATGGAGCAGTGATGCAAC